TCTTCCTCGCTTTCCTCCTAAGTTTATTTCCGTTGTCACGCATACTGCTTCCGATTCCTCCCTTCCCGTGACATGTCCGACCCATTTCAGTCTATTTTCTCTCGTTTTGTCCACTATTGGAGCCACGTTTACGTTGATTCTTATGGTTTTTATAGTACAAAATATAGAGATAAGGACAGGTCCGGACTGAGAATGAAAATCCCCGGCCGACAGGTACTGCGCGAGGGAGGGGGCAATCGGGACAGTTGCCCTAGGACCCGTGATTTTAAAATTATAATTAAGGCCCCGCAGTTCTGGAATGATTTCTACTGTCTAGAGATTTTACTGAATTTCCAAAATAGTATTTATTGTTGAAAATAATTCTTTATATTGTATATGTAATCTAGTTTTCTAGCGGAACGAGAAAAATTTTTGTGTGTACCTATAGTATTTAGAAGACCACACATAGACTGTTATTTATTTTTCCCAGGGCCCCGCAAATCATAGCGCCGTCCCTGCCGGCCGAGAAATCGATAATTCAGCTCAAAACGTTGGAATTTAGACGAAAAACTGCATTATCATGTAGATGCAGAAAAGGTTTTTCGGTAATTTTAAACAAACAGTATTAATGATTTATCTAAATATATAAAAACGCGTACCCGTGTTAATTCGATTTATAATTCATCGGCTGTACATATTTCAGCAACGTAAAAGCAAATGAAATAATTCAAACAACTCAAAATTTCATCCGTCCATCCCGTCTGGATGAGAGATATTCGGCCCGCCAGCAATTATTGACCCGCCGTATTATCTCACCTTCCCGGGAAGATATCAGTAGAATTAATATTCACTAGTGAAAATTTTCTCTGATATCGGAGAAAATCAAGTGAAATTTTACCCTGGGGGGAAGCAGTCATATTTCACTACTGAATATTTTATACTCAACCAAATATTTATAAGTTAATTTTTACCGAGGGAGATTAAATATTACGAGGATAAATTGTCGCGGCTACACCCGGACACAATAAATACGTGCTTCGTATGATATCAATATAAATTTGTATAATACATTTTAAAATGTATACCTAAATTTTAAATGTCCGACACGTAATTTAAGTCTTTTGGTGTTGTTTCGTATAGATGATTGAACAATAATATTGTATAGGTATTGATACTCCTGCATTAAGTTTTCTGGTAGTGAAAAAAAGTTATATCTATATGAAAAAAAATCACGTGCAGTGCAAAATTAAAAACGCGATGTTTTGTACAATGCGTAACATTTCGTGTTATATTGGAACACCTAATTATTAGACCGCGCGATTTGTTGAAATACGCTCAAGTAGGTATTTAGGTAGGTAATAATAATTTATGAGTTTTACCCCGAAAATCTCTGAACGTTTTTCTTTTGGTGTTAAAACGATTTTAGCACAATTACAGAGGCGGAGGCTAAATTAAACTTTGAAAAACAGGCTGAAATCGATACAGAAAAATGTGCAGACAGGACGAAACCTATATAATACCCAAATAATTATTCCCATTTACCCAAAACATACTCCCGCGCACATAATATTATCATAATATCCTTTTGAAAACAAAATAAGCTTAAAATGTGATAATTCCTTTAGAAATTTTTAATTATTTCATATTAAATTGCCCTCGCTCAAAAAGGTTTATACATTTTTTTTTTAAATTTAAAATTTAATAAATCTGAAGGTACTATTTTCAAAACGTTTCCCTCGAAGTATAATTTTTGACGATGATATAATTATATATATATTATTAAAATGTTTTCGCATTATTGAAAAAAATGTTTCTACCGTAAAAATTATTTAGATTGGACAAAAAAATACAAAAAAAAAACTTCAGAGAAAAACATAACTTTATGCATACATTTTAAACAATCGTAATGTCTCGAAACCTCTTAAGGCCTTCGAGGTAACTTGTACATTCTTCTTATTCATTTAAATATTTATATATATATTCCTTATATTTTATAGTATTATATAAAACTTTAAAATATCGATTCTGTAGATTTTAATTAAAAACTTCAACGGCTTTTAATTTTTTTTTTTTCATGGCATCCGTATAAAATTCTTTTCTGTTATCATTATTATTGTATTTTTTTTTTTTACTTCCAACAATAATTTCAAATCGAATTCGTATTTTATACCGAGCCCAAAATATATCATCCGCATCACCGTGGTAACCCATAAATCAACAAAAATAATTTGATTTTAGTATCGAACATATACCTGCAATATGTCTGTGTCAGCTCCCCTTTAGCGATTGAATCCTGGGAAAGTATAGGGGGTTCGAGAGGAGGAAATAGCCTATATGATATTTCCCGGTTAGAACTTCACCGTCAATGCAAAGTTTCATCTCAGTCCGTTTGGTATCTAGTTTCGGCGAGAAGGGGTTCGGTGACAAACATCCAAACAAACTTTCGCGATTATAATATTATTAATAGGATATAATATGCGATTGGAATGATGGGATATAGGATTAGTAGTGCTAGGAATTTGTAGTCAAAGCGTTCCTTTTTAAACACAATTCACAGTACACCAGACTCCAAAATAGACCATTATTGTTTCCGTTCGTTTCATTTGAGTTCATGAAGTTTTATATTTTTTCTTTCAATTCGATGCTGATCTGGGTACAAATTTGATTCATGATATACTGAATATTATTTGTATTTTATGTATTTTTGCTTTTTTTATGATTTTATATTTTAAATGCATATTTAAGGTTTCTAAGAATATAAATGCTTTTAAACATTTTAATAACAAATCAAAATGTTTTATTATTAGTTGCAAAGTAATGAAATTGAATATAAAAATATAAAAATTATAGTTCAAAGCTCTAGTAGTTGTTACAAAAAAAAAAAAAAAACCTAAAATTAATCAATAGAAAATAAATTAATACGTTTATTAAATACATATAGTTCTGGTATTACTACAGTATATAAGTATATAATTTCGGAAGAAAAGAGGTTTAACCTCAAATTGCGCATCGCGGGATTATGATCTTACGGTTTTATTAAAATTCCCTGTTAAAATAAAACAGGAGGAGCAAAGAATATTAGTTTTCGTTCAATTGTATGATTGTACACGAGTACCTAGGTAATATGAGTTCTAAGAATACAACATCAACGAACGTATTGTGTTTCTAAAACGAGAAAACGAAAAGGAAATGTCGGTATATTATTATTACAATTTCAATCTGGAAAATGTTATAAAAGTTTCATCGTGCAGATTTCTAACGTGTACGCATACATATATTTACCTAGGTTGTATAACATTATACATTTAGTTTGTAGATAAATCTACATGTACGTCAGAAAAATGGGGGTGGAAGTAGAGTAAGGGAAATACCATGATAAATAACGGAAAGTTAGGCGCTAATATTATTGGGGTTCTAAGATTCCACGAAACACGTATTTTCGAAATATTTGGCGAGTTTCTTTTTGATGACAAAACGAAAAAAATGCGTAGAATTTATTTTAAAATTTAAAACTCCACTAGTGATTACGGTAGATATTTACTTAACGCGCCGACTTGGTCCTGTTCGTAATATTTTCAAAATTATTAACAACGAATTAAAATCGTCTACAATTGACAACAATCTCAACAGATAATATTTTTGTTATATTTATTTGTTACGGTGCAAGCCCAATATTTAAATAAATATAACGTTATAATATTTAAAGTTTAATGCAAATCTGATACTAATCGAAATTATGACTTTGCGAAACCGAATAAGTAAACAAATTTTGAGAGAAAAAAAATGATTTTTCAATATTACAAGCAGCGAGAAATTTCTTTTTTGAAATATTTTATAGGTACTCATAACCATATTAATGATATGATAATATAGTGAGCGATCGATGTAGAGGGGTGGCATCCCTCCACACTTCATAATTTAGATTTTCTATTCCTCCACTATTATTTTTTCCAATACAATATAAAACAATGCATCTCCGTTATAATACATAAATTATGCACATAATGATTGAAAGATTATCACTTTAAATTGGTTTTATTTTTTTTTTTTTTTGGAGACGACGTTTTTGTTGTAATCGTCCAAACACGACGATAATAATAATACAGTTTTTGACCGACTTCGCGTACCGCAATTAAACGGTGTCAAGTACACCGAAAACGTTTACGCGGTACACGTGGTTTTTTAAAGGTTAAACACGGTACGATACAGATATAAGAATCCGTCCGTAATTAGCGTATTCGTGAATCGCCAGTTTAAATGAAATATTACTACTGTTATATATTAGTAGGTCTATACCTATATCTATATATACATAGAATATTCTATTATGCTGAAATATTGTGCATATTATTTTAACAATATTTTGATAACCGAATTAATGCGTCTATATTGCGCAGTGCATAATATGATTATAGTGGCACGTTGTAATATCGCAGGTAATGGAAAATACGAAACGCCGGAAGATATAGGTTGTTATTCGCGTACGTGTATAATTGGTATAATTTTAGAAAAAATAAAAACGATTGCGATAGTATACGGGATACTAGGTGATAAGTATAAATATCACACAAACGTTATTGCAATAACGTCGATCGTTTAATACATTCAAGGACTTTATATAATAGAATTCTCAAGGCTAAATAAACCTGTGGGCGGTTCGATTTTAATGTGGTAAAGCCAGGAAAAAAAAAACAACCATTCTCCGTCGGAAGGAGAGACGAGGGAATTTATTATTATTATTATTATTATTTTTTTTTTCAATATTCGACATGATGAATTATCGACAAAAAAAAAAAAATTCGAAATAAACGCGGATATATATATATAATAGAAAATGTATAGTTTATAACTCGATGGAAAATTAAAGCAGACAAAATTGTATACGTATTATTTTGTTTCGCAATTGAATAAAACGAGGAAACCGGTCTGTCTTGAAACGTTTTACATCAGTCTAATTTTTTCGGTTTAGATAGATTGAACAGAATTACCGACTATAATAACAATAATAACAATACGTTTTACGGTCTAAATGAAATTATTATGTTCTATTTTGTGCTCGAAATCGTGAAAGCACTCGGTTGTTTTTCTGATCGATTTGTTTCACTATACTCGTGGACTGCGACAGGGTTTTTCTAAGCGGTGGGCGAACATGAACTAATCGTTAATCGTTGTAATAGTCTTATAAGGTTATTAAAGTGGCTAGGTAGTGACTACTCTAAAATATTTTCAAAAGGTATTGATTCTTTTCGAAAATGTATTTTTGTTTTTAAATTTGAATATAGATTTTAGGAAAAAAAAAATGTCTTTATTAAATGATATGGAGTTCCAGGAGTCTTATTACGAAAAAAGAACGCGCAGTACAATATTAAACCCTGCACAGATTTTAAATAGGGGCCCGATTGTCGTCTTCGGTACTGCGAAACAAACAGATTCAATAACAATTTCTTCGGTTGATGTAAGTTTGAAAACAGAAGTGTCGGAAAATGTAAAAAAATATATCCGCTTAGGTACTGTATTTTAAAACACGGACGGTTTGTTCAATAGATTCCCCTTAACTAGACAAGCCTGAAAACTTGTAAAATAATATTTAACAATCATTTTTGAATTAATACTATACTACTACTATATAGCCGTAGAGAAATTTCGCTCTGCAAACAATGTTTAAATATGAACACTTCATCTCCAGTGCCCTTCAATATATAAGAGATTACTTTTAAGTGCAGCGTGGTTGAAATAATCACTGGATTGCATATTGACACCTATATTTTTACTTACGTGCTCGGCGATCTGTTTTCGTTTGTAATCGGGGTGTCACAGGAAAATATATAGAGTCAATTCACCTCAAAAAGACGTGCTACCCTTTCATAAACAAGGAATTGCGTAAAGGCAATTTTTCGAAAAATGAAATTTTGTCAACTCAAAAATATTCAAATACATTATCAATTGTCAAGTACTTCCGTGTCATTAACACAAATATTTATAACGAAAAACCGTTTCGCGAGAGCAAAAACTACCCGGGCTATGGGCTATTATAGTTTAGAAACTAAATGTTCACCATAAATCAAAGTGAACTTGCTCTGCACGATGTTTGTTTTTTTGTCGACATCACACTATTGTGAACAAAAATATTTAAGCTTGAAAAGCTGAAAACGATCAGATTTATATTATAGTTTTAAGTTCTAACTGTTTTCTTTTTTGGATTTCTAATATTTGAAAAAATAAAATCGACACTGTACTGTGCACGTTCTCTTTTTTTACGGTTAAAATTGTATTTCTTAATTGAATCTGCAGCTCGAGCAGTTTTTCCCCGCGACGTTTTTACATTTGAATTGCGGACGGTAGCACGACTTTAAAGGCAGTGGAACCTATGCAGTTGGCGAACGGCGTCTTCGACATTTCGTACAAAGTTCAATGCCCTCTGTATGAAATCATTGGCTCTCAGTAGAGTTGAACCCTTCGGTTACAGTAATCTTTATAATTATATTTTGTTAATGATTTCGTGGTTTCGTGTTTCGGTTTTCCGCTTCTCGTCTGCCGTCGAATAGTCATTCACACAACCAACGAACAATATTAAAGAAGGAACGCTCGATCCCATTGATCGATTTTTATTTACCCGTGATCTGAGAATGATCCTTAGGAAACGTTTCCAAAACCTAATACGGAAAACGTTTCTGGTCCGTCGGTGTATATATTCTTTTAAATATCTATTGTTTGTCTATCGAGTTTGAGTGGTCCAGTGGTTTCATAAACTCAAGGTCATCATTATGTTTAACACTGTATTTAACCTAAAAAAAAAAATAAAAAACAATTCGTTGGGTACTTGTTTTACCTGTACCCACGTCGTTAAACAAAAAAAAAAAAATATATAAGCAAGCCGCTTGTTGCCTTGATGACAGTGTATGTAGGATTATATTAAAACTATAAACTTGAAGAGTATTACCATTATTGTTTCTTTTGTCGTGCGACTAAGTTCGATTAGTATCTAAGTGTATAATATTCGTATTGGATGGCTCACGCACAGTTCACTAAAAGCATTGTTAAACAAAAACTTCGATAAGAGGACTGAGAGGGGTAGTATTATTTCTTTTGTATTTGGTATTAAACCAGATATCGACAAACATAAACAAAAACCAAGACAAATAAACTGTCATCGTTCCGACCGGAAAATCCGTATTTTTAGAGGGTGTGGAAATCAGAGCATTTCCACTAGTCGAAAATGTACTTTTTGAGGGGGAAAACGCGTCCGTGTAAAACTGTAATTCTTATGGCTTCTTATTCGCTGTAATTGAACAGTAGCTATTTTTTTTTTTTTTTAGACTTTCTGTAATGAACACATTTGAGCATTTGGTATAACACCGAAATTAATTTGATCTAAAACGTTATATTATATTTATAGGATTTTATTAATGTAACCATATAAATCAAAAAAATCAAAATCGGGTAATGGTTTTATCCCTCCCTTAAATAAAATCAATAACGTTAATGTAGCATTTTATAGCTATTAGTTTTAGTGGTTTAAAGAAGAAAAAAAATGCCGAAAAAGTAAATACTTTCTGAGATAACGAGTGTCGTATCGCGAAGAATCGATTAAAAAATGAATTAAAAAAAAAAAAAAAATGGTTTTCTTACATCTGCGAAACCTTGTGGCTCGTCTACAATAAAAAAAAAACGCTTTAATTATTCGCGGTGCACAAAGCGTGTCGTATTACATGCGAAAATAATTGCTGTTCAAACCACAGGTACTCGGAATCTAGGAAAATTTTAATTTTAATTATGTATAAATATTTGTTTTGTTTTATACGGTACGAACTGAGGACGGTACAGGACGTAAGAGGCGGCGCGTTACGTTAAAATGGAAATCGTCGCCGCGCGGCCAGACAATGACGGCCCGCGTCTACATAAAGAAGACTGCGGGGTCAACAGTGACGATCGGCGCCCACGCACGCGACCCTTATATTAACAACGTTTTTGATAACAACTCGTGTATAGGAGGTATACGTATTGTTATTATTATTATTATTATTATCATCACCGTCGTTATAACTGTGCGTCGTCGCCGGGCAAAACGGAAATAACGAATAGCGCGATGTGCGAATAAAATACCGGGCGACTGACAACGACGACGACGACGGTCTTCCGATCCGTTAAGTCGATGCGGGTCGTAAAACGGCTGGTACGTGTTGTTTTTAGAGCACACGACAAACATCGGACGTTGCGTCGTATTTTAACAATGTACGAGTGTCGGCGACCCACGTATCCGTCAGAGTTCTGCGTCCGTCGTTATGTGTAGAGTCGCGTATAGGCGCAGCTAGACCGCCGACTTTGGGTGCGATGAAATCGGGTAGACCCCGATTGCGCATACGTTTGTCCATTTTGGCAACACGATTGCGTACGTTTGTAGTTGAGTTAAAAAATAAACACGATTGCGTATTAAATTGTATGCAACATTGTAAAATTTATTAATTTCACCATTTATCCAATAAATATCCAGTGCAGTTTTATAATAATCAATGTATAAAACAATAAAATATAGGTAACGAGAATAATTAAATATTATTTTTTTTTTTTTTTTTGTTCCTCCATTATTAACCGATTGTATAATCGATCTTGTCTGCATTTGAGTTTCTTTTAATATTTTAATGACAAACATGTGTTGGAGGATGAGGACAATGAAATTGTCCGTTATAAATTCTACGAAAGCTTTCAGATCCATTTGTAGTGCTGAAAACTAACAAACAAACGTACGTAATAAAAGCTTAATCCATAACCATTAGGTTATGGGAATACGCAAAGTTAAAAGTATTTATAAATTATTTCTGGTTCACTTGTGTAGTCGTGTGGTATATACTGGTATGAAAATTGGCAACAACGTTTAATACTTCGTACGCAATCGTGTAGCTTAAAATGGTATCACCGATAACCACCGTATACAGTCGAGTTTTACCCAAACAATTATCAGCACATCAAAAACCCGCGGCCACGATATTTAATACTTTTTAAATTACAAACAGTTTATTATTTTAAGTTTATTGCTTAATGTAAACAATTTTGGGGCACTATATTATGTACTTGTTGATTCATCAAAAATTTTAAATTACAAGCACCCACCTATTAATGTAGTTGTCCAGCAATGATTTTCTCTCGACGTTTTAAACCAAACGGTTATTCATTGTGGTTTGCTGTAACTTTATAATTATTACTGAAGATCGGTAATTTTATATAGATTCTTAATTATTTCATTTAATATTTATTGAATAATTCTAAAATGGATGATGTACGGTAGTTAGTTATTATAAGATATTTTGTCATACGGGTTTATTCATTCTAGCCAATTGTCACCAACTAATTTAAAAAAAAAGTATAACCACCTATCTTCAGTGATAATTGTAAAATTACAACAAACCGTAATGAACGTAATCATTTGGTCCAAAACATCGAGAGATAACCATTGTTTAATTATTTTCTATAATTTATGTGTCACCGAGTACCATTTTCAACGCAATATCAAACTATCGAAATAATTCGGCAGTCGACACGCGCGCGAATTGTCAGTAGAAAATCCGTACTTCGTTCTGCTAGTTAATTATGAAATTCGCGGATAAAATATTTAGTCGTTATCGGGTTTTTTCGGGGGGGGGGGGGGGACCACCGAAGATCTCCCCAGCAGCCCACTAGTTGCGCTCGTGTATAGAGCCGCCGTACATGAACCGCGGGCTGTCGTCCGTGTCGACCGAAATGTTTCTATCGGCCGTACATCCGGAAATTCGTAAGGGAGAGACGGAAGCGGGAAAACGCTATACGGCTATTATAATACACGATTTTACAGTTATTAGACATCTACAATATTATATTATACAGTATAATTTACGATCGTACATTTCATCATAATAACGGAATTTAATTGAACGGATTAACATAACGGAGTATACTTGGAACGCATAATAACAATTGCGGTTATATCGACGACCAGTGGCGCAGACAACCTAATATTTATCTATGACATATGTAATAGTAGATTTTGTAGCTCCGGAGTGCTCACCGAGGGACTGAACGAAAAACTGGATTACACGTTGAATTACGCGGGTGCTTCGATATTCGCAATTGTTAATTTGAAAAATAAATTGGGGAGGGGGGGCCTCGATGTACGGTGTCACCGTATAGTTTCGGCGCCATTGACGAGACAATACATTGAAACCGGGAAAAATCGATAAAATCAAAACACTTTACAACGTAACATTTCGTACACAATCGTCGTCGTTATATCGTTAATATCGTGGGTATCCGGCGAACTGGTAGAACACAATTCCGCACGGTTTTTATTTGATGTTATTTTTTTCTCGTAATGAACGTAAAACCGCAACCGTTTATAACAAATTTGACAACGTCGCGCCCAATTCCTATTGTATTTCGATTGTATTACAATGAACAATAGAGCGTGCGGAATCGTGTTCAGAAAAAAAAAAAAAAACGTGCGGAACCGTATTCCTCCCCCGGCGAACAACGTGTCCACGTGTTTTTTTTTTTCAACGGACAGTAGGTACAATATAATATAATAATAATAAATTCACCGACGAAAATAATCGCGACGGGTACAAAAAAACCGTCGATCGGTTGTAATAATAATAATAATATTATTATAACGGTGTAGGTATTCGTTATGTTTTATCGCTTCTCGTACCTGTATTTTCGTAACGCGGGGGCGAAACGGACTTATCAATCCGACAAAAACACGCGTACGGGAACGTGGGTACGGGTAAACTATTATATTACATATATTATTGTTCTATTCTATCGTGTTTAAAAACCGACGACGACGGTTCGCTATATTATTATAATGTTCGAAGATCGATAGTACGATATTAACGCGCGTTTACGGTACACGGAACTTTCGTGACGGGAGGTAACGGTAAACGTTTTGAATTCTGTACGCCGCCTACTTGACAAGAAAAATGATAACAGAAACCACCACAGCGGGCTAGTAGCGATTATACCGATTTCGAACAACTTTGCGTATTTAATTTTGCATAAAGAAACGAATACTGGTATACTATGTATAAATAACCTTTGAGCCCCGCCAAATATTAAATGAATGTGATTGACGAGGCTCTGTCTCGTCTGCATTTACAGGAGCTTCAGACGGTCCACGAGGGCTACATTAAGCCCCTCTAATTAAGCCAATTAAGCGACTTGCGGCTTTTTTTTTTTTAATAACGTAAACATCAAACATTTAAAAGAAAAAAAAATATTGAAGTATAAGCGCCGAAAATCCTAATTGTTTCAAAAAAGTTCTTCTTGTTGACATTTCAATAATAATTATAACCGATAACTGAAAATTGCTCGGTCGCCTATTATATGGTATAAGGGGTTTGTAAAGAAAGGATTGGCCGTGTCCTGTAAATTATACGTTTGTTTTTCCGGCCACTAGAAAGAATCTTATTATCTCTACTGTCGGATAAATTATAAACACAGAACGGGATTACTATTTATTATACTGCGTGTCGGCACATTTGTTAATCATTTTTTCGCCACATGATACCGTTCAGTTTTTAGCGTTTACAACTCGCGATAGAATATGTATACGAACGACAGGCCATCGTGCGTTTGCCGACCAGCCCGCCCCTTTTGGATTCCGCTTTAAAGAACTCTAAAGATTTGTAGTGTTAAGTACATACGTACTACGTGCGAGACACAAATTTTAAAAAATTATCAAATAATATCTATAGGATTATGTTCGGTACTGTTAGATAAAAGTTTCAGAAATATTTCATTTTATATCAGCTTTAGCGCACACTCAGGTACTCGCACTAGGTACACACTCAGCACTATACATTAATAAAATAAACTTAAAAAAAAACCGCCGAAAAAATTAAATTAAAATCAAACAAGTTTAAATAGGCACGTCTAACTATAAATCGATTTTAATACATCGCAATGAAATACAATGGCATTGCTTTTTTTTTTTTAATTTACAGCGGTTGTTTAGCTAGCACTACAAATTTAACCAACCGTTATTGTTCTACAAAAACCACACTAAATTAAAAAAAAAAAAAAAAAACAATGCTAGGCAGTTGGATTTCATTGAAGTGTGTTAAAATCGATTTATAGTTAGACGTGCTTTCACGCACCTGCTCGGCCGGAGTGTTTTACACGCGGGAGTTAAGAATCGAAATCGGATTCGAGCGAGGAGTCCTCCGGGACGAAAAGAACCGGACCGCGGTAACGCGAATCGCCCCGTATATTTCGTTAAGCGAGAAAACGATAATACGCCGTACGTATTCCGCAGTCGCGCTGTCAGCGGGGCGATAACGTAACAACAGTATCGGGGGGTGACTCTACTTGAGTTACAATTTATTGCTGTAACGCAATCACTTTTTTAAGTTGTTTGACGGTAATTTAATTGCAAATAATTGTAAATAATTTATACACCACGTGATTCAAGTTACTCTTTCGTGGTGAAATTTCTTACTTACTCGTCACTGTTATCGCCGTTGATGGTGTAATTAATGTATAACCTATACTATCACTCGAAGATTCGATGTTATCAAGTAATTAGCAAGTAAAGCGATTTTGATAATCAAATTAAAAACAAAAAAACAAACCGAAACTTCTCAAACATCGCGTATTATTATTGTTAACGCGTTATCGATATGATGACGAACGCGGTATCGTAACAAAACGGTATCGGAGGACCCCCGGGGCAGGGGATTAAAACGCTTTTATATGATATGTGTCAAATTATCGGGCGCCTACACAACGGACACGCGGGTCGCAAACGAGCGGTCCGGTCTCCGCTGATCTCCAGGCCGGTTTTCGCCGTCAGGGCTCGGATTTTATAGCGTTTACCAATCGTTATAGGACGAACAGGAATAAAGGAAATAACTCGTTATAGGAAAAAAAAAAAAAACAGCGGAGTGAGCTTTAAACGGCGAAAACGTACCCAGGTACAACCCCGCGTGTACGGCCGTCGTACCCGTCAGCGAATTCGCTTATCGAAACGAGAAAAATAATAATTAGAACACGAGCACATACGTATATAAGTATGTTATCACAATTTAATATGACGTGCAAATCGCGTGGGTCAGACGAAAACCCGAAAAACGGCCTCGACTCGGTCACTATAGTTATGCCGCTGAGGGGTAGGCGTTCGAGTGTTGACCTTTATTTTAGATCTCGTCAGCATTTATTGACGTACCGCCTGCGTATAGTCGTTACGTCAGCGTATTAATGTGTCTGAAAACAAAATTTGATATTTTTTTTTTTTTTTTCAAAAACAACAAAACACTGAAGAAACCTGTGAATCGAAATCGCTGACGTCAGCAACATAATATTATCATTCGTACAGACCCATCTGTCCTCCACGTCATTGGATTATACGTCAACAAACTATTAACCACCACCCCCCATCCTCGTCGACGGGTGCTAATACTCGGACTGGACCATTAAACTAAAACCGTCAAAATCGAGTACATTAAACGGCCCGGTCGTTTATGATTCTCGGACTTGAGTTCGATGTGCCCCCGTAAGTCGCAAAATAATAATTCAGAATTTGCGACACGCGACAATTTTTGTAGTCCGGATTCCAACGAAAAAAACATTTTTTTTCCGCTTTAGAATATTGCGTATTTTTTGTATATTTCGCCATTTTTCTATTTTTTCTTACGTTTAAATTTTATAAGCTAGTGTGAAATAAATACACTTCCAGTAATTCAAATTTGTGTTTTGAAAAGTATACTTCTTTTCTACGTTTTGTAGGAAAAATATTTAAATTTTTGTGTCATGATGCTATTAAGTATGAGTTTGCGTTAAGGAAAAAAATAGTGAACGCGTCATGTAAGTAAATGAAACAGAAATCACAAACAATTAAGTTTCTATAAAACGTAGACAAAAAATCAAAGTTTAGGCGGGTTAAGAATGATGAAGCACTTTTCAAGCACCAGGCGCTGTGACGCTCTAAACAAATTATGCTCCGCCACTCTCCCCCCCACGCCTAAACTTAAAAGTGGAATATCTTGCGAACAAGTCGACGGAAATCGAAAATTTCAACACCAACGTTTAAACATTCAAACGTTCGTCTAATATTCCGACTATTTAAGGATTTTTCAATAATCCGTCAACTAAGGATATTCCTTAAATGTCGTGAATAATATAAACGTGCGAAAAAACCGTCCGTAACTACGTTTGAAAGTACCCAAATCAGAACTCGCGTACGTACAAAATTTACCCCTAAACTTCGGGGTGAGCGTACGGATTGGACGGCTCCACGGTTGAAATGTACTGCAAGGTTGTTGCATATAAAATAACCCCCTTCTTAATCAATTATATGATGGTGAAAACAAAAATGGCAGCGTAAAGGGAGCCAACTGTATTTGCCGTAATTTTCATCATAAGAAAATTGACATTTGCGATATCCCTTTACGCAGCCATTGTGTACCTGATGATAACAATCCGAGTCCATGCGCAATAACCTTGGATATTTCAACCACGGATAGCTCTTCATATTACGGACCGACGGGAAGAGCAGAAAAACAATACGGCCGTTTTATCGCAAACACGCACCACTAATACGGCGCACACATAATGTTATCTAATTATTTTACACCGGGGGTCGTACACAGGGAATATTATCGCACCGCACGCATCGCGAATAAAACATTATGCAGAATACACACATTTTTATTGACACACATAATATACACGTAGGTATCATTTACAACGTCGCGTGGAAAGTATCATTATATCTACGCAAACGAACTAACGGGTAGTCGGGGTCTAGGGTGACCATATTTTAATGCGTATAGAAAAATAACAAAAAAAAAAAAAAACGGACGATGCGTGAGCCACTGTTGTGGGTGTGAAAAGTTGGGAGAGCAGAGGAGTAATTCAATGTATATCTTTACGCGACGATTAATCATTGCTAACGAAAACCTGAACGGAGTTTTGAAACGCCGTAATGTTTACGATAATACATTTCGTAAATTTTTCGGTTTTTTCTATTTTTCTCCCGGTTTTTCGCCATTTATTATGAAAACCTCCTGGGAAAATCTAAAAAATGAACTCCTTAAAGTACCACTTCACGAACATTTCCTTTCGGGAAAGATGTGACACTTGAAAATCGGAGCAAAATTTTTGGTAGAAAAGTTGTTCACAGAAAATAATAAATAAACATAATTTTAAAACTAATACATTTCTCAATCCGCTCGGTATGTCAAGAACCAAATGCAAGACGAACAAATTTCGTTCAATTCTAAAAAAAAAAAAGAACTCCGATACACAGTACAAGATCATTTAATTTAGGGGTGTAATATTACGGGGAACACGGGGATGAAACGAGACTGTCGTTTTCGAAAAGAAAACGGGACGAAAAGAGAAACTCCCGTTCGGAGTTGTTGGGAAAAACGGGCGGTCCTGTTTTTAACGGTACGTATATACATATTATGGTCACCCTACTGGCCGACGGGGATTAAGCGTAGTACAGCATGACGGGGTTCTTGACGGACGGCGATTGCTGAGGCCGCTTCTTGGGTGTGGCGAATCGCGGGTTGAACGGTCCGAGGGCCGCTTCGTTGGTGGATGACGGTTGTCTGCTGCGCTGATGGTTGTTATTAGATTGCCGGAACAGCAACCGGTTGAGTCGGGTGGGCGTGTGATTGTGCGAGTGCCGGCCGCCGGCTCCGGTGCACTTTGGTCCGCTGCCGCTGCCACCACAGCCACAACCACCGCCGCCGCCACCGCCGCCGCCACCGCCGACGCAATCGATGCCAACACCGTGGTCCGAGCAATTGCGTGCGCCACGATTGCAGCTCAGTATCAAAAAGGCACTACCGAGTGCGCAACCGAGTGCTCCGCAACCTCCGCCAGCCGCGTCGTCGTCACCGTCGTCGTCGTCGTCGAATCCGTCGTCGGACGACCAGCACCACGGACAGGCGCGCAACGTGTGCCGGTTTAGCCACCAGTACACCACTGGGTTGACGACCGAGTGCACATGGCCAAACAGCAGTGTACCCACAGTGACCAAACGTGTCCAACTGTCAGGTGACGTGAAATTGAACCAGTTTGTGTAAAGCAGTGTGGCAGCGTACGGCAGCCAGCACAAAAAAAACACGCCGGCCAATGCTACTAACACTTTTGCCAACCGTTTCCGGCTACGGGCGCTGGTAGTGGGGGGATGTAGTTTTTGTTGCTGCTGTTGAATCTGCTGTATTTGTTGTTGTTGTTGCAGTTGCAGTTGTTGTTGTTGTTGTTGTTGTTGTTGTGGTGGTGGTGGTTGCTGATGGGACGAGTGTGGCTGTTGTTGGATCACATCATTGCAGGTCACCTGCAAAAAAATACATAATATTCAAGCACGTCTTTCGACCATTATTGTTATCGTTATTGTTACGGGGGAAGTTCGTTATACAATTCTTTAAACCCAATATGGTGGACATTAACACTAGTTCATTTTTATTTGTCGGTAACCAATAATAATTGGTAAAGTTAACAAGTAAAGTTAACTTTACTTGTTTGATTTACATATTGTAATATCGAATATTTTTAACATTATGTAAATATAAACGTAAACAAAAACTTTTGTCTTTGTATTTCAGTTTTTAATTTTACAAATTAAATTTTTATATTTTTGAGCTGCCTTTGCTTTAATCATTTCCTAAACAAATTAAAAATACTTTTATTTGTACTGATACCAAAAAAGTATAAGACTAAAAATGATTTCAGTTTATTCAGGTAAAAAAAACCTCTTGAAATATTGCCGACATTTTTCCAAAAACTTAAGTAAAATATCGATTTTGAATTATTAATGTGTAATATGTTCCTGAGTGGTGAATTCTAAGGCCTACTTACATAATATAATGATTAATAATAAATTTGTTTTATACAATTTACTTAAAAAAAAGACGGAAATATTTCGCATGATGGGTAAGCCACTATTTTAGGTTATAAGTTGGAAAGGTAAGATATAAAGAGAAATTCAATTTATATCTGTACGCAATGATATACCATTGTTAACGAAAAACGATTTGGAGCGAAGTTTCTTTTACGCATGTACGTATGTTCCGTTTTTCTACGTTTTTTGCAAATATTCTGGAAACCGATTGAAAAATCAAAAATACTCCATTAAGTATTGCTCAGATGAAATTCCCTTTCAGAAAAGATACTACAGTTGAAAATCGGAGTAAGATTTCTGGTAGAAAAATTGTTTACAGATGAAAAAATAAAATAAACATCATTGTGAAACCAATACATTCATCTGAGTCTAAAAAGTTATCAAAATAATGATACGTTAAAAAAAACCACAAGGGGTGGGAAGACGCAAATGTCTTCGATCGCGCGAACGTCCGCACTCAGTTTTGATTTAAACTTATGTTATTGCGTTAAATGGGATTAAATTCATTCGAAAGCATTTATTTATATAACGTACCTGTGTATAGTAATTTATATAACTACCTAATTACAAAAACAAACAAAAAATCACTTTATGTATCATAATACTGCCGTTTGTACCATTTCGAGGAACGCGGACGCTTTAATTTTCTTTTCAGCGCCAAAGTTCTCAAACGTTTTCCTCGTTCCGCGGGAACTGATTATTTCGAAATATCAAATACCCATTATGAAATGAGCGTTTTTCATCCGTCGTATTTAAATAATAATAATAATAATAATAATATTATTGTAAATTCCTTTTTGAACAATGTTTCGTTCAGAAGTCCGGCATCAAAAGCCATGCATACTTTATTTAAAGTTTAAATGTTTCCAGTTGCTGCTTTTAATGATCAGCGAATAATGCTAAAACATAAGCGGTGCAAGTACTTACTCGACGGAGTATATTGCAATGGCAAAATTCATAACAATTCTGAATTTATGACGGTTTGATAATATAACCGGATTGATTTTTTATTAAGAGCACGTCACGCCCGCACGTGCTGTCTCCATCTTACAAACGCGAGACATAGTAAATGTTAAATTTTGCGCCGAAAGTTATAATATTACCATGAACTGACCTATTACCATACTTCAAAATTCGAACATTATATCTGCGAAATTTCGTCAGTTTTTTTCGATGTTTTAAATTGTAAACTTGATACGAGCGCTACATATCACAATTTATAAATGCCCGTACCTCATCTAAAAACACTGTCGAAATATTGTATTCGTTCGCTTATCGTGTACATTTTTTTCTGCGTATTTTTTTTTTTATCATTTTAATATTAGAGAATTGGAAAAATTATTACTACTCTCAACTATATACGTATTCAACATCCTAGGTATTTTTAATTTTTCCACGTGGACGTTATTTTTGACAAAAATATTTATTACGTCAACCCAAAAATAAAATAATTTTAATAATTTTAAAACTAAAGATATAATATCTTTTCTCGGAATATAAATAAGTTAAATAACAATAATAAAGTTTTCACGAACAATCTCATACTGAGGCTTTTTCCATGTCCAGATATTGCAATAAAACAAAAAGAGAAAAAAATAATACTTGAAAGGTCACATCACCGAGGAACAAATTTCTACGAATACAAATCAAATAAAGCGCTAGATTTTTTAAGCTTTTTTTTCATTAGTTTATATAATATATATATACATATAAAAAAAATACAACAAAGGTCGTCTTATTACAATTAATACGGGGAAAATAATACTTAATAATACAATAACGTTGACGTTAACGCTTCGAAGCACTTTTTTTATTTGATTGATTTTCGACAACGGAATGACAAATGTGTTTATTTGTTTGTTTGTTTGTTTTTGTTTTATTTTTTTAAATACGTTTTAAATTACGACAATTAATATTTTGAATAGTCCACAAATCCACAAAGCTCGTCAAGATAATTGATAAAATAAAGTCAGTGAGCTAGGTATAAGTTAATTGAAAAAAGTTAACGAGTTATCATGTTAAAAGTTAACTGTTTTATTAATAGACCAGGTCAAGTTGAAAATGCAATTAGCTTAAGTTCAGTTCATTTTTTATTTTAGGTTGTTGTGAAATCGCTGTTATTATTTGCGAAAAACGCGATTATTGATAAAAGCTTGAGTTTGTAACTTTTTTTTTTTGAAAACAAGGATGATCAACACCATGCACATTGAGTAAAAAAAAATATGGTTAAAATTTATATTGGTTGAAATTTTGAATTCTGTCAACCTGCTGACGAGATATTCCGCATTTAAGTTTGGGTAGGGGAAAAGTAGTGGAGCATTAGTTGTGTGACGGCACAGAGTGCGGAGTTTGCATAATGCTCCGTTACTCTCCCCATAGTCTAACTTAAAAGTGGAATATCTTGTAATCGGTTTTACGGAAATAGAAAATTTTAAACCAAAATATATATAAACTTATTATACTTTATTGATACTTTCTAAGATATTGATCGCAATGATCACCCTTTACGTAGGGTTTGTAGACGGGGCAGTGTAGACACAAATACGCGCCTAGGCTATATTATATTAAGATAAAAAAAAAAGAAAACCGATCGTTTATTAACAGCACAAGCCGATTAAAGCACGGGAAAGAACAGGGCCGCCAAACGTATACCTTTCGATATCCCGAATGGGAGCCATAATATATATTATGTATACACCTAATATATAAGCCATAATATTAATATTAATATTTGTGCACGTTGAAACAAAAATCAAACAAAACAAAATTATGGAATAATAAATGTGTGTGTATTTTATTTATGATTTTACATTTATCTACTAACTTATGTCTATATAAACCTACACAACGAATCGTGCATTTAACAAAAATACTTGCTTACATTTGAATACAGAATCATTGTCGTCATCATTGCGTTTTAATTGCTGGTTAACAGTTATTATTAACTATACGCTATGTACTCTTGTAAAAATATTACGAAGAAGGACGGAATATACAAAATTTCGTGACCTACATTATAGTACCCATAGCAAGTAAAAACCGGAAAAAAACACGGTTAACGTGAATGTTTGTATATTTTATTATATATTAGGTATTTTCTATGCGATAAAAATAGTCGATTAGAAAAATATTCCATTTCGGGACATTTTGAATTGTTTTTTATTGAGAAATAATTTAATTGTGATTGTTAGAGGATTTTTAGTGTATTCAATCCGCAAAGTAATGATTATGTAGCTACAATAAAAAAGTATGGGTTTTTGATGCAAAACAGAAATATCCACTTAAATATTTACTAAAAGTTTAAGACGAAATAAAACTATATTATGGGTATTTTGTATTTTGTATTTTTTTGGCAAACAAATACATTTATATTTTTATTACGATTTTTTTTATATAGATTAAATAAGTCACCATATAGATTTCTGCTTAAGGTACCCAGTGGCTGTTGTTTGATCAAAATATATAACACTGTATTTAACTATATAATATTCCTACTTAGGCGTACAAAATATAATAATACAGTAATTATAAAAAAAATATAAAACCGTTAACATATTTTATTATTGAACATTTACTAAAATGCATTTATTTTTTTTCAGTCACGAAATTTACTTTATTTCCTTCCGAAGAATAAGAATTTCGTTATTCATTGTTAGTTTTGCCCTCTATACTTTAAGATTTTAAGAGAAACGAAGGTGCAATTGGTTTTACAATGGATGCAGTGTTTTTTTTATTTAGTCCGCAAACACTTTTTCCGGTTGTATAGTGCTCCTCCGAAAGTCCCTTTCTTCAGCTCCCGTCTGTAAATTGAAAACTGAACGCAAGTGGTACTTGAAAATGAAAACATTTTTAGATTTCTCAGTATTTTTTCGGAAAATTACACAAACATGTGAAAAATGGCGAAATTGTTGAAAGCATGCTCTTGTTTTTGTTTACCAGTAACAATTTAATGTAGTTACTATCGTATATGTATTAAAGGTGTTATTTTCATACTTATTATTGAATGATTTTTAAAATAATAGTCCTAAGCACTAAAAACATTAATTGATCGTATATATCTATACATACTAAAAATTTATAAATGTATCAATGTATGTATTATGATTTGTTTGACTATAATGTGCGTTTTTTTATCTCTCATTATCAAATGCAGCAAAACTTTTTTGGTAAAGTGGCAAAGGAAATGTTTTGTAGGTTAAGAAACTGATCGTGTTAAAATATTTGTATTAATTCAAATTTTATAAATTTGTAAACTGGTGAGTGTACCAACTTTGACGAACTTCATATATTATCGGCAAATATCTTAGTTTATACTTTTTCCAAATACCCACCTTTAATAATGGTTTAGTCATGACTCGAAAATCGAAAATCATGGAAAACTCAAGTGCATACAAAATGTCGAGTCCATTGGACCACGGGAAGTTGAGCAATTAGAAAACGATCGAGAAATTCTACCCACCGACAAAGAAAGCGATTAGCGAGGTGAATAAAAGCGTATAAAAATGCATAAATACAAAAGAGAAAAGCATATTTGGTATTTAATACCTATTAAAGATTAAATGATTATAAAAATATTATAATATATTTGAAAATTTAAATGAATGTGATTTTCTGATTCAAACCCAATGGACATAGTTTTAATTATCATCCACAAAAATGATTAAGTCACAAACAATAATTATAGTTCAAAATAATATTATTAAATAATTATAATCATCTATAATATAAGTAAAGGTACAATAACAGTTGGGTTCCTACCTATAGGACCGATAATGATACCTTATAGTATAGATATTACTAGACGAATATCAATTGCCAGAGTAAGAATATTCGTAAAATGTTATTTCCCGACTAAGACTTAGACGTTGGCATTACGGCTACGTCCGTTCCCCATTCTCAACCGGTTAACGAGATGCATTTAATAGCCGTCAGGCCAATGGTGTAAGAACCTTTTATACGCAAAGTGCATATGTCAGCTTGTTCCTTTTCAGGCGTATAGACAACCGTTTTTCAGGATGTGTATATCCGTCTAAGTAAGGGAATATTATAAATGGTTTTTTAAGGAAAAAACACAATCTATGGTAAAACAATAGTGACATCAAGCACAATTACCAGGTATCTAGGATAAGAAAAACCAAGTACAGCAGCCCACCTTAAGGTATCAGCAACTGCTTTATAGGTTCCAAAAAAAATATGTGATTGGAGTGAGTGAGCACAAAATGTATGTTTCACCTAAGAGAGCTCAAAGAAGTAACTCAATTAGTAATGCGCATGACGTTTTTATGTCCTTTGTGGTCTCCCACACCGACGACTCTCATTTTGCCACGGTAGCTACGTGGGCAACAAGTGTAATTGATACTGTGAATTAACGTTTGCCATATTTATGTGGCAACACTGATATTTTAATGAAGGAACTGATAATTGTGCTGTGTAACTATAATTGTTTATTTTATATAGTCGTTATTTAATATATTCCAAATTGCAACCAAGTTTTTTAAGTGGTGATCACATCCCCGTGATCAGCATACAAAATGAAGAAAAAAATTAAAGTAAACTTTTTTTTACTGATTAATTTTGTTTATTTGACAATTTATTCAGTGCTCACTTGTCAATGATATACGAATTATTTGAATTATATAAATAATTCAAACATATGTAAATAGTCAAACGGACATATTAATTTAATTATTAAATTGTATAAAATGATAAGAGTTGAATGTGATTGTGAAGTATTGCAAAAAAAAATTGAATAAGTCTTTAAATGAAGCGGGTGACAAGTAAAGTTCTAGTTTGGTGGGAACTACGTCGTCAGATAGAGGCAGGGCCAGCTTTGTAGAATTTTGACCGATGGGGGTTCCAAAAACATAAAGTGTATTTCAAACAAAATTTAGTAAATATAACAAAAGAGAGGAGACGACCCACCATACCTCCATTGACGCCGGCCCTGGGTAGATGTTTCTGAAGAACCTGGTCAGCTGGATCAAATTCTGGAGTGACTCACGCCAATTCTATTTTAATATTCAAGATTTTGCCAGGCTTGTGGCTGGGCGACTGCAGAGACGTGCTATCCAGTTGCCGCGAATTCTCATCACCTAACGCTTTGAAGTATTCTGGCGGCTCTTTCATATGATCAATGGGTTCCTGCATGACGACTCTATCGATTAGTCTTAGTTCCATATGGTTCAATTCTGACAAACCTTTAGCTATACTCACTGATAACTCTTTAATTGTATCTGAAGATTTGGTACCGTGCCAAACAAAAACTGTGCTATTTTCAGAATTGAGTAGAATGAACGATGTTTGATTACGTAATTGTACTGTACAACACAGTACTTCAATTAAATGGGTTTCATTTACATTTGCTCCGTGGACCATAAGCAAACGCCAAGTTTTTAGAGTTTGATTTCTTTTTCCTCCGTAAACAATAACTTTCTCTTTAAATAAATTCTAGAAAGCAGGCAGTTCGTGCCCTTGATCAATTCTTATTTGCGGACCTTGTTCGGTATCTAGTTGTATAGTTAACAAGGTGGCAGCGCATTAATCATTTTGAATCGCACTTCGACCATGCCAATACCAACATGCACAGAGATTTCTACCAGAATTAACCATGCGGCGGGAAGGCAATCCGCTAAGTTCTCTTCCTTGAATAGAAATGTAATAAATCCATCGAATAATATATGAATCACCTTCGTAAAAATGACCGATACAATTCTATTAATACGTTTCAGGGTCTTGGGCAATAATACATCCCTGACCTGATGTATTCCGGACTTAAAATCCGACACCTTTTGAGCTACCAAAACCCTAATATTAATCGAACAATGATAAAAAAAAACTTAATATTCTTCAAACAAATTATAACCTTGTTTAAGTTTAAACGTATACACAAATACTAAATAAAAAAAAAACAGAACATTATACTCTCCAGAACAAAATTTAATCCAAGAAAACAAACAATAACTTTAGCTGTATATGTTACTATGTTAGTATTGACTATTGATTAAATCGAATTATGTACTTTGTATCAAACAGGTTACATAATTAATATTGTTTATAACACCTAATAAAGTACGTACATACAAACTAGGATCTACATTATTTTTTACTATACCTAATTTCTACCCTATTTTATTCATAAATTATTTGAAAAAAACTATTCACAATAGAAATAATAGTAATAATATTCAAGGTGACTATTTTTTATCATAAACCAGCAATTGTCTCAGAGGATTTTAAGTCAATTTGATTTCAGTTTTTTCTAATCATTATGGAATCGTCTAAGCTTTATTTTAAACCCATTTTTAATTTTTTACTCCTGTAACTTATACTTTAAAAATGTACATATTTTTGATTTTCAAATAGAAACCTCCCCCCTTTTATACACAGATTTGAATAAAGAATATTTGTCTAGAAATGTTGATATGCATAACACTAATATTAGATTTACCGTTTATGAGTTATAACAGTTTAAAGTTTAGATCGGAGTTATAGGGAAGGATAATAAATTGCCTATCTATAACCTTTCCTTACTCCCTATAATTCCGTTAATATATTATTACAATATACAATGATTTATGCCCTATGGTTGGAAGTTGGTACCATCCATTATAGCCGATCATTTGTGGATAGTCTTTGTAGACAGCTGACATGCGGTTATCGAATGTATGAGAATTTCAATCCGAATTATGGATGTTAAGTCTACACAGGAAAAAAGTCGAAGTACTTAATTCAGCAGAAAAGGTTGTTGACGAATTTGGGAAAAATAAATTGAAATTGTAATTTGTGTTCAATTAGTGATTTTAAACGCACAATTTAATATGACATTATAATAACTTAATACAATTTTTTGAAAATACACATTAATAAAAGTGTTTATTCATTAGTGGTTATTCATACTACGAGGCGTGTCCAGAATGTAAGTGGCTTAATTGTGTGGCTCGTAATTAAGGCTGTTTCCCCTCTGGATTTTTCCTCCGAGCGCCCTCGGCTGTAAGTATACAATGGGAGAATGAATTGCACGCATTTTATCTGTAGAATTATAGCATAATATTTATTATGCTGAAAAACTCGGGAGATTTTCTTTTTTCATACCTATAGGTACATATTTTTCCACACCCGTGTACACGATATCGTGTAACTATATACATTATTGTACGGCAAAAGTGAATTGGTAAAAATATAACGTAATATAGTCGTACGCGCATAGAGAGTATAAGTATATATATATATATACGAATGGTATATGAAAATATATTTTCAATTCGACCGACGAAGTCTTGTTCCTGCACATCGCAAACTATAATATTGGCGGCGCGGCCGGGTCGCGCATAAGCGTTCCGGTGTCCATTTCGGCGCCTATAGGTGGCTTTTCCCGGACGGGATTGTCGAACGGCTGGGCGCGGCCAAAAACTCCCAGACAAAAAGGTTCGACGTTGATAACAGCGACACGATATCGCGGATGACGTTTCCGTACTAGCATACGACAAAACGCAACGCGATAAATTCGGTAAACGGAAAATTTAGATGGTTTATTGTTTTAAACGAAAGAAATATAGTTGGTATATTGGTACTATAAAATATTTTATTTTCAGTAGTTCAAAAAATATGTCCAAAATTAAATATAAATTCACAACATACAATATTTCAGTTTTTCAATATTTGAATAGTTTATACACCGAAATAGTATTAATGATATCACCTTAAATAATGCAATAGCCTGTATAAATTATTACTCGTTAAAAAATTGCTGGTGTAATTATTAAATTCATTGTAATTTTTCGCGGACATTTCCATCTAATAGTATCTATAACGTCAATATGGCATAGAAGACTGGAACGTAAAAGGGCTATGGTTTGTTTTGGTTAGTTCTCGGTGGTTTCCTAAAGGGGCCGGGGGGGACTGCTTTACCCCCCGGTCTTGTCAGATAGTACAGGCCTTTTCGTGGCGCTTGATACCAGTAACGGTGCGGATTTTTCCGCGCCGTGAAGCTAACATATACAAATTCTCCCTGGTCGGACGAATACCGGTATTTCCCCACCGAGGTTGTATCCGGTGAGAGATCGGAACAAAGGGCCCGTCTCTCCACGTGATCGTATAGGGGTTTTCTCGCGTTCCGATCGTTGAATCGCAACGTTTGGTTGGCTCACTTACCTCTGGTAATGGAGATTGTGTTAACGAACGCGTGTCGGTAGACATCCGGCTGCTTCCGGTGCGGACTGATCGGGATATATCTCGTCGGGATATGTCAAACTTTTGACATTTATGAAAAGTAGTTCGGGTGGTCTTCGAAGCCCCGACGTCGACCCATTATCGGCGTCAAACGGAGACCCGGGTGCCGGCTGCGGTTTTGGTTTTAAAACGTTCCGTTATAATTTAAGAAACCCCGATTTTTAACGACCGTATCAACTTCTAGTAACCGTCAAATTCGAATCGACCGCGGTGGTGCCGAAACGGATCCCAGAGTGCTAATACGCGGCCCGGCTAGTATTATTATTAAATATATATATATTTTATTCAACCATACAGAATAGCAGCCGATATAAAATGATGAAATCGTATATACACACACAAATATGCACGCTGTACTATTGGTATATTCTCTCTCTCTATATATATATGTTCTATTGGCACTATTGTATACTTTTGGCAAAGGTTTTACGAAAAATTCTAGTAATAATATATTATAATATGCTGCGCATAATAATATAATATGATATACTATGATATCTTCTACGTATACTCGATTGGATAGCGGGTGGATTTTTATAGGGATTTATTTTTTTTATTTTTTTTTATTAAAAATATATCATTACAATATTATATACTATATGCGGATGCCTCTACACGGCTCTATCGGTGCACGCTGTGCAGAGTATTGGTATTACAAATGATGCGACCGTAATATCGACGTTATTTAATAGTAATCTGCGAAAGATCTAAAAATAATAGATAATATATAATATAATATGGACGTGGTGGCCTGCCCGGGAATTTCAAACAGGAGGGACGGTAGCAAATAAGAATCGTGAATAAAATATCGTAAAATCGTCTTCTCTATCCGACTCGACTATAATATGGGAATCGGTATAGTTTAAAAGCCGGACCCTAAAGAAAAGCCGACTTCCGATCAATACATCAAAATTTTCATCGTATAAATTGATTGAAATATATGCATTTCGATATTAAATTACTCATTTTTTTTTTTTAGATTTAGCCAACGGGGAGGGGGGGAATAAACCCCTAAAAAATCACTAACCTGCGCACGTCACTATATAAACGCAGATGATGGTCTAATAACGAAACCATTATAGTAACATTATAATACCTTATTTTAGATAGTTTTAGTTGAGCTATCCTAAAAATAATAATAATAATAACGTAATTATATGTTAAACGTGATTTTAAAATATAAATAAATTTGATTGAGTAAGTTAAACTACACGTTTTCAGTAAAATAATAACTTGGTTTAGTTAAAAATTAAGTTAACAAAATAACTAAGTGAAGTTAAAATTATTTACTAAAATAAATGGTCTTTTCTAAAATCCAATTTTATTTTTGAACAGTTAAGTTAAATGTTATGAAACAAGTAAATTATGATTTAACTATTAATTTTTAGATAGTTACCACCTACCTAGTTATTTAAGATATACACGAGTAAAAAATGAATTGATCAACATCCAAATATTAAACATATTGCGTACTATTATGAAAATATCTTTTTCTGCAATTAGATAGCCAGCGCAATATTTTCAGTACTACCTAATAAAAAGTAATCACTGTCGATATGCTACGCCGGTTTTAATTTCGATATGCTATTTCGAGTGTGCGGGACCGTTGGTATCATCCACGAAAAATGAATAAAAAAAAATAAAAATAATAATTTAAAAAAAAAAAAAAAAAAACGTTCTCGTAAAATCAATGCGGTCCCGTAAAAACGCCGAGAGACGGACTTGCGGAAATTCACACATAATCCCGATAAACGCAAAAACAATAAACAGTCAAACTTGTTATCGGGCCGGCGGCGATCACGGCCCGAAATAAACTGTAACTGAAAAAAAAGCCCGGAAGCATATTTTTTTTTTTTTCTGTGAACCTAAACTCGTTTACGTTAAACCCTCGGGTGCAATGGCCGTTGTTTAGTTGTGCACTCGTTAAAATTTTGTCCGGGCCAAGCGAAAACGGCAGATAAGTTATTGTGGATATAATATAAGTAACCGAAATAATTGTATACGATTTTTTTTAATTTAAAATTCCCCCCCTCCACCAATTAAAATACACATAACGCACGCATTTCAAATCGTGTTGAAAATTTGAAACAAAGCTGGGAAGTAATAGTCGAAAAAACAGAAACACAATTAATTTAAAAGCATCCGAAAAAATTGCCGAACCGCATTAAAATAATCACTCAGTATAATAGTTTGATTTTATATTTTGGTGTTCGAAGCATTAATTCGGCAACGTGTGTACGCGCACGTAAACAGTGTTCGAACATCACAGACGGTTTAATATTTTTATATTTCCATACTGGCAATTTTTCAACCGTATAGTTACCAAAGACCTTGAATAGATAACCTGTAGCTAATTCCTAATTTAATAATTTAAATTATTCAGAAGGAAAATAATTTCGGCTTTATATCCGATTATTATCGTATCAAGACGCGGTCTTCTTCTGGTCTTAAATCTTTTGATTGGATTTTTGCAGTTCACCAAGCTTCTCTCTCTCGATTCCTTTAACTTCTTTTAACTGTCCTTATTGATGTCTATCGTGATTTGTTTAATGTATACTCCCATCCTTTGTTCTTTTTCTGATATGGCCTTCTACCGGTACCTTCGTGGAATGAATGCATTTCATCAAGCTATCGTGCGCCCAATCACATTTTGTCCCTAATAACTTTTATACCGCGTCAGAGTTCTCGTTTTCCCTTTATTCCAGTCAGTGTTCTTTCTATCCGTTTAATCTTGAGTAATCACCTCAGTCTATAACTTTTGTAATAGTCTTGTTTTAATAGATCGGCATTTTGTTCAATCCCTGCTCTCTAGTTGGCTTGGCAAAAAATGTCGAAAATCTTTATTGTTTTCGGGTTTGATGAAGGTAAATAAAATAAATAAAAAAATTTTTTCCCCCCGGCAAATAATTCCATTTCTTATCAGTTAACAAAACTAGTACGTTAGGCCCAGTCAACCGAATGTTTTAAATGACGCCATTGCAACGCTCTATAATATCATTTTGTTGGATTCATGTGATAGTGCGCTGAAACACTGAAAAACGTACCAGTCTATGGTTCCTATTTGAAAATCGTCCGATTGTTTAGGCGGAATACGGAGAATTTCTTTCCCGTTAAATTATGCCATTAGAAAGAACTGCATGTCGCTGGTATCCGGAGGTCAGATATATTACTTAAAATTTGCTAGATAATTTTGGTACCAGTTCCGAATCTTTATGACACAAATTAAGAAAGTACGGATCTAGGCGGCACGTGTCGCTGGCGCTCATAATAAAAAAACGCATTTTCAACGCTTAAGGGGTGTACAAATTTCGGGTTTGCTGTTACAAATTTGTACAAATTAAATAACAAATCTTGGCATCAATTTTGAGTAGTATTTCTGACCTACGGGTGCCAGTGACAGGCAGCAGTCAAAAAGTGGTATTTTTGAGGGAGAAAAATGAAGTTATATGTCCGGTTGTTGTGTGTTTTCCTCCGCAATTCCGATCGTCAAAAATAACGACGGCGACGACGACGTTATGTTTATTATACATTTATAAAACGAAATGACAGCGAAAGAGGCCGACGCGTTATTTGACACTGTGTACTAATATAATAATTGGATATCTATTAAAACCAATTACCGGCGTCGGCTTACGATTTTGTTTTCCCCTTTCGCCTTTGAAAACTATAAATGATTATCAGCCGATGTCGATTACACTTACACACGACTATAACACGTCATCTCAGTGTAGCCCTTTTTTGCTTTAAATGACCCAAATAGAATTTAAAACAAACAAAAAAACCGATCGCGGTTTTGTTTTCGAGATATATTATTTTGATTTTTCCCTGAGAAAAAAAAAATACGGTCGACTACAAGTTTTCGGATTTCAAAATAACTATAGCAATTTTATAATAACGTTGCATTTATAATCTATTTAAATATATAATTATATACAAGATACATATTATAATATGGAAAGCTGTATATTAACAGCTTAAAAAGTTAAATTTTAAGTAAACTATCAATTTTAACACTTGATTAACAAGATAATTTTGATTTTATACTACGGCAAGTTATAACGTTTTCATTTTGTTTTTATATGAACAATGAACATATTATTGAACACAATGTTAAACTTAAAACCTATTAGAACTATAAGTACACATGTCTAGGTATATTTCTCTGGTCCTAGAGTAGAAGAGCTTTTTGAAGTTAATTTTGTATAGTTTTCAATACAAAAAAATTAAAATTACGTACATATATAGGTATATAAAATTCCTGAAATTGATCCCATTTACTTCCCTGGGTCTAAAAATTTATCTTAAATCAATTACCAGTTTTATACTTAACGCTGTTCAAACAATAACAATATTTAAAATCAATAAAAACCACGAATTACGATGTACAAGATACAAAACTAAGCGTTTTATCGGTAATCTTCTTCTTCTCATAGTGTGTTACAAGAAAACTACTGCGTGAACAGTCGTATAAAAACTAATTAAAACCATGCACATTTGTAATTATTGTCAGCAATATCACAATTTGAGTTACCGATATTTAACGACACATACAGTTCACAAATAGTGCACAAGATTGCACCGTAAAGTGATACGAATGGTGGCTCACTGATAAGACGCTCGTTTTGTATCCTGCGTGTCTTAATTTGCAATAATAATGAAAAAAAAAAAAAAAAAAACTGATGTATTCCAAAATTTGAAAAGACGTTTGAAAATGAAGCGCTCCATTTACCTTGGACTGTACAGTGGTGTTCTTCTGAATGGACGCAACCAGTATGACCTGTTTGGACTCGGCGGTCATAATGGGCATGGGCAGCGGGAGCTGTCCACGGGCCGCGGCCGCTTTGAGCGACGTGATGTACAGCGTCCGGCTGACGGCCCGCTGACTGAACGCCACCGCTGTCCACGGAACGGCGAACACCACGGCCACGTAACACGCCTCGTAGAACCGGGTCCACCGCAGGTCGGCCATCAGCTGTTGTACGGGCCCGGCGAAACGAGGCACCGACACGACCACGGCCACCGTCCACGCGGCCGACACGCCGGATACCAGGTACGTGACGTGTTTGTTCCGGTGCAATCGACCGTGCCGCGGATGTTTGATGGACGCGTACCGGTCGATCGACTGCGTCATCAGACTCAACGTGCTGGCCGCCACCGGTATGTACTGTAACAATTATCAACAAAAAAGGCAACACGGTTAACACGTTTTTTGATGATTTCTTTTTATTATTATTATTTCCAGAATCGTCATGCATTTCAAGGGAATTTTATATCTGTTGATTTCTGTGTTCATCATAGTCGGGCAACTTTTGAAATTCAAATGGCAATAACACATATTAGGGTTATGGTAACGTCAACGCAGTGGCGTACCGTAATATTTTATATTGAGTAAGCGCTAAAATAAAACTTCGAGCTTAATTTAAAAAAAAGGTATTTTATTGATAAAAATTACGATTTAAAATTTATTTATACATAAAATCCATTCGTTTATTTTCTTTCATAAATATACGAATATTGACTAAATATACAAAATAATATTGTTACGGAGCTTCAAAAAATTTCAAACGTCAAGCGTTTCAAAAAACGATTGAAATCGGTAGCGGATAATATATCACTGTAAACAATAAACGACTGAAACGAATAAAATATGATAACATATGACATTAAACGATAAACAATTGAAGTGGATAATAGATAACATAAAAGAAAACGATAAACGATTGGAACATAACACTATAGCAGACAATAAAAAGTTCGTTTTAGTTTTTAATTTTTATCCGACAACAAAGAACAATATTAATAATTTTATTTTTTATTATCAGTGTACATTTCTATGTTTTATGTTTAGTTTCGGTATCAATATTTGGAATAGAAGAACTCGCTACAACCATAGTTATAACGCGTTAATCGACAAATGTTTACATCACGTTTGTTTGATTTTTACTACCTATCACAATATCACATATTATAGTACATTAGTAATTTTAATTTGTTGATTTAAAAATAATATCTCCGTGTACCGTTGTTTACATAGGCTATTTATATTTTAAATCTTTGTTAATGTGTTTAACCTGTGGTCGTGACACACGAGTTGTCGCTATTTTAGTTGTTCGAAAATTGTGTTTTTAATATTTACTCAATATTGGATATATATACTTTAAAGTTTAAATTAAACAGTATCTATTAGTATTTTTCGTCTAAAGGAATTTAAAATGAGTTTTTAAATTTAACGTATAAATGCAAATATTTAATTACCATTAAATTCTACATGTTTAATTTTGTATACCTAGCACTTTAAGCTAAATAAAAAAATAAAAAATAAAACATTTACAACACTTAAGTCGATAAACCTTTGAACCTTTATCGGACAAATTGTATAAACGTTTAAATTTCATAAAACGTTAAACAATATTTTTTAAGCCCCCTTTAATAGCTAATGTACCCATGTAATATTATAAAAGTGTATTAATAATGATAATAGTCCGATATGAATCGGCAAAATATTGGAATTAAGTATTTAAAAACAAACGGACATACTTCACACAGTGGGTGTGCCACTATTGTAGGTGGAAAGTTGGTGAGGCAGAGGGGAAATGTAATATATATTTGTACACAATAATAAATCATTACTAACAAAAAACATTTCTGATAGGAGTTTGGTTAAAAGGCAGTTGAAAATAATACGTTATATAAATTTGCCCATGTTTTTTCCCATTTATTATTGAAAAACTTGAGAAAATCAAAAACGTAATTGACGTACCACCCCAGTCAGATTTTCTTTCAGAAAAAGTGCTATATTTGAAAAACGCTTCCAACACTATACATGAAACCGTGGATATCCCTTTCTACCGTAACCGGTCGTTCCTATAATAACGATACGAGCCGGATAGTCTAAAATACGAGCGCATAATCTGAAGAGCATAATTACCTATATGAAAAAAATATAATTTAACTTCTTTCGAATAAACCTGTTAAATTTATTTAAATTTAATACTCATACAATAATATTAATAAATAGTAGTAATTTTAGTATAGAATTCGCATTTAAATATGTTATAATTATAATTTCATTACCACTTAACATATAATAAATGGTTAACATTTTATTTCTTCGTATTTGGCCGGGAATACGCCGTTTACCTAGGTTTCCCTGACGGCACGCCACTGAGACGGCATTTGAAGAAGTCACATATAGACAAATTTAAATTTTGCTTAACAATTGCAAAATTAAAAACAACCGGGCAACTTTGTACGTGAGTAGGCCACTGTTGTAGGTGAGAAGTTAGGAAGTTAGTAGAAGGGGAAATTTAATGTATTTCTGTAAGTAAAGATAAACCATTGCTTTAAAAAAAAAACGATTCAGAGCAAAGTTCAGTAAAAAAAAAATTTTAAAAAATAAACATCTTTGTAAAATCATAAGCTTCTTCGCTATACTAAGAATCTAAAGTTTATATTTTTATACGTTTTTATCGAATTTCCAAACGATATCAGCTATGGTCCTATACAAAATAAATTTTCCGTGCGTAATAATACAATATACCGTATAATTGGCGTTAAGTCATTTCTAAGTTTGTCATTACGGAAAATCGTGTAACAATATCCCAATAAATATAATAATACATTTCGGCTGGTATCGAAGTTTAAGTCCCATGCCCACCACAACGATGAGGGGCGAAACACATATAAATTAAGAGAACGAGAATCTATTATTGGATTGAAAAATTTCAAACGCACGACGTGATAAAACTTTATAAAATATATTGATACCATTCGTATAATAATATATAAACTCTGCAGGACGAAGTTAACGTAAAGATTTAATGTCCAACAACTCTGTGGGTGTATAGTACCTATATACAGTTTACATATATTGTATAGGTACTATGAGTGTTATAACAGACCCATTTCCACGGACATAGTTTATACTGACAATCGCACACTAAAACTATTGAAATATGATCGAGTGTAGAACAGGTCAGATAGGTTATTATACAGGGTTGAGTCTTTTTTCGTGAACAACAGCGATTTTATACAGAAGATACCGCGCGATATTGGTTTGCAAATGAACACCATGTTCCGAAAAAGTGTCCTGAGGGAACACGTAAAACCTAGTCGTTGAAAAAATACGTGAGGTAGAAACAAAGTAGACGGGAAATTGAAAATTCTACCTCAGGTCGGTCACATTTTTAGGTTGAAAAGTCGCGTGACAAAGCAATAGCGTGTAAGAGTAAATAATTACACAATATAATAAGCACAATTATGGTACTATGATAATTGTATAGGGAACGGTTAGTAACAGTGAAATATTGTGCTTGGTCCTTATTTATTTTACCATAACAAGTAATACCCGTTACTATACAAATTCACTGGCTTAATGACCACTAAAATAGGAAGTTGGGGATAATAGGATAATAAGTGATGTAATTTTTCAAACTAATTGGCTTCCTAATGAATATATTATTATGTTTGTATCACGGATATAAAAACAAAAAACAACCGGACTAATTATCAAATTTTTAAGATTTTTTTTAAAAAAAAAGGTTGAAGCTAACATCCTTATGAGTGATTACTGCACACATTAAATATTCGTCATAATATTTTAAGATATTTTAAAATAGTAACTTGTATATTATTATTTATTATTGTTAAGTTATATTAGCACGGAAAACAGATTTTCATGTAATATCATTGTTATTATTATCATAATATCAGATGATTTAGGTTCTTCAATAAATTATTATTAATTTTATTTTTTTTATAGTATTTTGTTTTATTATTATTAATTCCAGTCCATAGTTTACAGTGAGCAGGGTCTAAAATAATAAATTTTAGAGCAAAAAGTATCCCGTATAGAATGTAAAGAGTGCAGCTCGGAATTCCAGAGTTTAAAAAAAATAATAATAAATAAACCCATTTTTATATGAAAAAGCGCTAAAGGAAGCGTCTCAGGACACCAAAAAAAATGTAAATATGTCTTCGCATATTATAAACATTTAAAACGATAGAACAAAAGAAATTACCTATATAGTATAATACGTTTTCAACACCTCCAAAAACTATTTCTTGTGTTCACCGGCACGGGACAAAAATATAGTTTACACAGAATCAATGTAGGTAGGTACGTATTATATAAATACGATTGACGATGAATCGTGATAATGATTCGATTCTCATATTATAAATACAGATCGAGTGAGTTGATAATGTTTGACAGTATTATTATTATATATATAATGTATATCATCGAATTCGAACACATAATATAATATTACTGCATTGTGTGAACAATTGTATGATAGATAGGTAAGTATTCGGCGTGTTGTCGTCGTGTAAAACCGTCGTCGTCAACTGCGGAACAAACCATTCGAAAATTGCTTTTCGCGTGTGTACAATGTATTTTTTAGAAGAAAAAAAACGTCATTTATTCGACGTCACACAACGAAATAGCGGTAAATTACAAATGCGATTTTTTATACATGTACGAAAAAAAAATATATATATATAGGTATATTATATCCAACGTAATCATAGTAAATGGAAACGTTTTTTTTTCAATTTTTTTTTTTTGTATTTGTACCTAAAGTATATTAATAGTAAAAAGAAGTCTACGCATTTCCAGTATAATAATACATTGACGTGACAAGCGAATCTATACAGGTAATATTAATGGGGGTGTGCAATGTATGTGAGTGTGTGTGTATGTTTAAATGTAAGGGTTCTATTTTAAAAGAAAAATAGAATAAGTACGAGGGAAAAAAAACAAATTAGGAAAGCCCACTCAGCGAGCGTGTAAAGTTCCCGGTTTCTAAATGCATTTAAACAATACGTTATAATACCGTATTTAATTTTGAAGCAATATTTCTTACTTTATGCTTATTTTTAGAATCTTAAATTAGTTAAACAATTGACAAGACATTTGTTTTAAATTCTAAATGTACTTATATTCCGTACGTACCTAAGAATACCTAATGTTATAAATTTGAAATCTCACTCGTATTTAAATTAATAAAAAACAAATCGACCACTGTAACTATATATAGACTAAGTAATTATAAGGACACAACGGTGATATCAAGTGTTCTAAATTTACGTTTAGAAACCTAAAACTGATTTTCATAACATGAGTATTAAGACAGAGAATTTATATAATATAATATTCTCTCAAAATTACCAAAAATAAAAGGTCAATAAAATATGTCATAGACGAAAAAAAACAACAGGAAACAACACGAACAAATGAAGTCTACTCACAGCCTCAGATACACTAAGACTAAGTGAATGTGAAGTTGAGCGAACAATGAAAAACACTATGAACTGTGCACTTGCAGAGAAAGACACGCAATCAGCCATCTGAAATGCAATTAACGTAGCCCTGTATAGTATATATTATTAGGTTGAAATTATTTAATCAATTTGATAACTCATTTAAAATTGATATTTATATATTTCTTTAAAACCAATTGCACCATCATCATTGTATCTAACTGCCTGTACGCTATACTTATTATCACATACTTGTTGAACGCCTGACACGAGAAAAAAAAATGCATACATTTGAAATGTTTGATGAAAACAAAATGACCAAGTACCTATCGTACCATATAACTACACACCTATTGCACGATAAAGGCTACAATATGTTAAACGCACACGACAGTTATTTTTTACTGTAGGTATGTGTTTGTGTACAGGTAAAACAATACTTTTAGTGTTCACAAATTATTCGGTCAAGCGTATAGTGAACACGACCGTGTCGTCGTCGTAGCAAACAAAATAAAATGTAAGTGATAAATAAATGAATGAGTCGTTCGTGAAATCAATACGAGCCTAGCCCATAATCGAACCCGTATAAAATATACAGGGTGATTCCTTTGTCACACGAACCGTCAATTATCTACTCGACTATTATGACTTTTAAGTAAATTCAAATTTGGACAGGGGTTTAAATTATTATATTATAAAATGATATTTTCACGATTTTATCGTTTTAATCCATATTTACTTTTGTTTTTCAAATAGTGGTTTAATTAAATTTATTTAAACTCACATTTGAAAAGAAAGTTTGAACATTTTTTATTAAAACCGTATTCTCCTTTCGAATTCGAGTTCAAAATTGATCTCAACATAAAAATTGTTTTTTAATTTTCCGTGTAATTTTTTAATAATTGGAAAAATTTTAGAAAAAAAATGGTAAAGTTGATGACAGTAATAGTTTTATTATTTTCGAAATTGGTTTTTTTTGTTAAAATTCTATTATTGATAATATTGTAGAGACCTGAAATTTGCATAGATTATATATATATTAGCCTTTTCTAGATGGGGTAAAATGTTTAAAACCATTTTTGAGTTATTTATAAACATTTGGACATTTTCGAGGCTTTTTAGTTTTCATTTGATAGGTATTATGCGGATAAAATTGTTTAGCTGAACATGAATGCTTGACACGATGTTTATTATAAGTTGTATGACATGGAAAAAAAATAGATGTAATGCAGATAGAACATATTTTATGATCAAATTTTGACGAAAATCGTACAAATTACGGAATTTTAAAACTTGTATAACCAAACTATATTCATTCAAAATTTTGTTTCTTTCTCGAGAACTAGCTACACTAGATACACTAACTACACTGATCCGCTTAGTATTAGGAAAGAACACGTTCCTTTCCTAAAAACTAAGCTTGGAACGCGTTATTTTCCAAATATAAGAACGGGAAAGATTTCCTATTTATGAGGAACGTAAACGCAAATTACCATATCTATGATGAACAAAAAAATGAAACGCAAGTTATTTTAATGATAATATTATCTAGAAATTATTTTGTGTTAGTATTACTTCGCCAGTTACGAATAAATCATAACAATGTATTGTTGCAATAATGCAATCCCAACTTTCCATTAAAGTTCTTACATAGTATAATAATATTCAAATAAAAGTTCGTTGTTTATATGTATGTCCGTGATATAAACGGTATTTTGATGTGAAGAAAAAAAGAACGAGAAACGGGAACAAGTTCCCTTTTTAAAAATAGATCGAGGAATTGGAACAAATTCCTTTTAAAGAGACTTTCTCAACACCGGCTCCGCTATTCTCCCCTACATAAATTTAATAGTACAATATATCGTCAACGGGTTGACGGAAATCAAAAATATCAACAACATATAACCGTAATTATTCAAACTAATGTTTTGTCTATTTGTGGAATTTAAATATTGTTTATCATTTGAAAATAAAAAGTAGATAGCCGGTTTATTTACAAAAATAATGCTGATAACAAATAATTTGTATGTGACATTTTAGAGCTAGTAGTATTGAAGAAATTGACATTTTCTAAGGTGTCGCAATGTTCATGTCTCCGTGGGACACTCTGTATATACAGCGGCACAGCGCTCTCCGATAATAAAATTAGTGAACGTATTCACGAGATTCATAATATGTATGTATATATATATATATATATATATATATATCATATTATATGCCTACAATATATATATATATATGTATATATGTATACTATAGGTAATGATGATGATAGTAATAATATATACAAGCGTGACAAACTAATGGATTTCTCAAATCCCCAAACACGACAAAAGCCCAACAAAGTACCCACGTAAAACTCTGTTTACAATAATATTATATATATATATATACATATATTTAGCTCACGTGTGAGCGGCACAAACCAATTTATCGATTCAAGAGACGTTGCAATATATTTTGCACTAACAATAATCGTCGTTGTACCTATGATAATAATATATTACTATGCAGACCAAGCATAATTAGTTTAGCATGGTGTTATTGTTGTAAACCGAATTATTATATGTGATAATATGTAACACGCAAGTGAATTCGGTTGACGTATCGATCTGGTATATTTACAAATACAGGGTGATTTTTTTTTTTTTTTTTATCACCATATTTCAGCGATTAGTAGATACTAGACTAGTCCGAGTAAATTTAATTAATTTGATTTTTTTCAACTATTATAATAATATAGAATCGTTTAACGGTCATGTCATTTAAAATATTTTCTAAAAGGTGCATTTATTCCATATACGCATAATATTTTCAACATACATATCGGCTAATTTTCCTATTTTTGTCCGGTCCGGATTTCAACAGATTTAAAATTTTGTAATTCCAGAATTTTGCAGTTCGTGTGTTTTTATGCGTTACCCGAGTTTTGGTTTCAAAAAATATTGCGAAACCCAGATTCGAAAAGAGATAAATTTATTAGAATATGTTTATTCACCGTGTAATATTGGTATACTATAATTGAGAAAATAGTTGTTATATGTACTTGGCAGTTAGATACCACGTACCGTGATTTATAAAAAATCTACTATATTCCTTAGATCTACATTTTAAACCGTTATAAAAACTCACAAATGATACCTACATATATTAACCGATATTATAATAGTATTAAATAGTGTTTTATCGAAAAGTGGAGGGCTAGACGTTTGAGAATCAAAAGCTACTTGGTAAATTATTAAAAAGAGATGATCGAGAAAATCTTCGAAACGTGATAGAAAAAAAACCACTCTGTATACTCGTGTAAAGTACCATCTATATTATAAAATAATACATATAATATTGAAGGTTAGGTTTAAATCAACTTATTATATAATATACAGTTTATGAGCGATATTCGACATGGTGTACAACAAAGTTTTCCAAAACTAAAGAGCGAGAGGCGTGTTATATACATGATTTATACTAAACTCCGTCGGAGTTTCTTGTTTGATTTAATTATATGATTCAAAATATAATTGTTTTAATAGCGCGTTATTATTTTATTAAGATTAACGAACGTACCTATAGCTACAACATTAAAATACCTATTATACATTGAAGAACTCCGTAACCGAGGAAACGGGCAATTCGTATTTATAATGATATTCGTACCAAACTATATTACAATATTATGGCGTATCGGCTCGTTGTTCGTTGGGCCCGACGGATTATGAAAGTTTTTGATAGTTATTATTCGCTCGTTTTTGAAATATAACATTATTAACGTGGAAGAATATTCGTAAACGCTGAATATTAATATCCGTGAACAAATATGAATTCGGCGTCTAGTGTGGCAGACACATAATATTATTTACATTGTACATACTTGAATTGAGAGGTGGGGGGAGCGATTTTCTAAAAATATTTTAGTATATTCCCCTTAATTTTTCATCATCATATGAACACAGAGCCCTAGAGCATGAAGGGATGCAAATCGCAATTTAATACCAAATTTACAAACACTTTTTTTTTTTTTTACCACGCTTAGAGAACGATAATAAAAGTGGTCTATGAAAATTGCAGGTCTTTATAATTATTTTTTACGTATTCAAATAAAAAATATAACAATAAATAAAGAAACCGTTACTGCAGTAAACTTTTCCGTTTTTCTTACGTTTTCCCCGGTTTTCCTCAGTTATTAAGAATAATACTATAAGAATTTTTTTTTTTTAATGGACCGTTTAATGCACCAATTAAATCTAAAATTGTGTAAATTCTTTTGTGTTTTTTTGACTGGTGTAAGATTTTTGGTGGAAAAGTTTGTTCATCGGTGTAAAAAAAAAAAAAAACAGCAAATTCTTCTCTGCGTTTAGAATCTAAAAAACACAATTTAATGGTAATACAAAAAACTAAGAAATTAATTGGTTTTGCCGGATATAAAATCAAATTATTGTCGAATTGTCGACTCTGCAATTTAAATTTTCAAGGCTAACCCCCCCCCCCTCTATGTATCCCTTATTTCCAGTCTTGAATGAGCATTATTAACATTTTGGATACATGAAGACAATTAAATCTAATGGTACGCATAGTTTTTGCTCCTTCTAATTATTTTATTCCAATTCGAACACCACTGTATTACGAGTATAATATATCTATTAGCTCTTCAACTAGTCACGTACACGAACGAATAATATTGTTGAATGGTTTTTATTGTATAATATCGTATATTGTATTTTTTTCTTGTATATATTATCATTGATGTTATATGCAACGGTCGAATGACCAGACAACGGAGGAACGTGACCGTATAATAATTGCAATACGTGCGTTTGAATCCTTATAACGTTTTCCGTCCGATTACATCTGTGTATACAGTGATAACACTGGTATACATATTTTTTGTCTATTATCAGGTAATATGCCGCAGTCGGTGTAGTGTAGAGATTCCTAATGAGGGCGGTACCTATAGTCTATCCAGAGGGCGGTGGTAGGTTTAAAGAGTTTTTATATTAATTTAGAATACTGTCCCGTGTACTTATGGAACTCGATGAAGGGGAGTTGGATCGAATAAATTTGGAATCATTAATGGACCTTCTTACCCTACACCAGTAAATGGTGTACTAGTATAATCACTATTCTTATCTACATATGAGTGCAATAAAAAACCACAACGTCGACTTTCACGGTGTGTAGATTATATTAAATCTGTTAAAAAAGTATTTTGTGTTTATGATCAGTACTTTATGTAATTTATCATAAGTAATTTGATAACTATTACCAAATAATAACTACACAATACGAAAATAATAATATTCCATAATGGTCTCATTTCTTATTATCATACTTGTAGACTGCAGGTACACATTCGTGGAGCACTTACATTTTCTTAATAATATAAATACAGTAAAAATTATTTTGCAAACTTCCGGTCTTTTTCATTGGTTTTTTCGTTTACCCGTAAAAATTATTGGACAGTGCTATTAAAAATATATATTTATATATATGTACAAAAATAACATTATAACAATAATAATAAGCACAATCTATTATAACATAAACACGTTATTCACTTTGTTTTCTAGATTATTTTTTATGTTTGCATATACCAAGTAAATGATTTTATTTATATGTATAACAAAATAATTAATAATTTAAAAGTTAATATTTAATTATTTTACATTATTCGGTATATTTTCGGATAATGTTCTCGAGTACATTATCGCTATCAGAAGATATTTTCGCTAATTTTTACATCGTTTTTAAAGATTTTATAATTTTTACTAAGTCAATAATAGTACTCTAATGTATTTTTTCTCAGAAAAAACTTTTGTTAAGTAAAAATATCTACTTCGAGTTTTCATGCAGTATCTCAACAAAAGCGAATTTTCAGTTTGATGATCATTTACTTAAAATATTTTTTTAAATTTTTAGAAATTACCCTTAGATCCTTTATTTTTTATTATTTTTTCTAGTAAAAATGCATCAAATAGTTTATGTCCTACTTTTAAATATGCGGATAATAAACTTCATAATATCCATTTTAAAAGTTTATCCTCAAAAGTGCATAATACTCATTTGATCAATAGGAGTAAAAAGTTGTAAATAGTGTTAAAAACAAATTTTAAATAATTCCATAGTGATTTTAAAAAAAAGAAATTAAATTCTCATTATATCCTCTAAAAAAAAATGACGGTTCACGATAAATGAATAATCTCGTGAATCAGTAGTGGTTTGTGAACTACTGTCCTGATAATGCTTCAACTATCTCGATTCACTCGCTCATGTCATTGAAACTTAATCAGAAATCACCGTTGATTTTTTTATGAAAAATTACGTAGGGGTGAGTTTGAGATTTTTCTTACTTTTATTGTAGTGAAACGATGACGAGCGACGGCCGTGACAATGAATAAAAGAATAAAATATTGTTCGCCAATGGTCGAATGGAGAATATTCGTTTTACTACCTACCTATACAATAACAATAATAATAATATAAGACTGCGTATATTGCACTTGTGCAAATATTATACAGCGATTGTGAGTTGTGATACGCGAACGGAAATCAACGAATCCCGTGACGACGAATGTGCGTGCAAATGATCTAATTAATCAAAACCATAATAATAATTATTGTTGTTCTTATTCTTCTACCCGAGTGTGTAGTCGTCGTTTTTGTTTAGATTTTAATACGAAAGAAAAATAACGACAAACTAAAACAACGCGCGGGAGATGGGGTGAAATGGAATCGAGCGAAACTTGTGAAACTTTGCCCGCTTAACCCGACGCCAAGGTACACAGCAAACAGAACATATTCTGCAGGGTTTTTCCTTTGCCCGGAGAGTGGAAAACGAACACCATGAGAAATTGCGCAAATATAAATTACACAATACGCACCGGGAAATCGATTCGTTTGTCACCGAGCATAAACCTTTTCGAATAATTTTCAAATAGAATAAAAAAGAAAGCTGTGCATAATTCGCATCACGAGTAGATCACTGTTGTAGGCCGGAAAGTTGGGTAGATATAGGATTTCAGGTGTACGTATATTATTGTTGGTGTATATGCTGAAAGCAAATTCAATGATTGAAATCAAAAACCGATTCTAACCAGAGTTCGGTAAACGAGTAAATTAAAGTCTATGTATAATTAGTCTCGTTATTTTCAAAATAATTAAATATTAACTTTTAAATTATTAACCATTTGTTATACATATAAATAAACTCATTTACTTGGTATGTGCAAACATAAAAAAAAAAAAAATCTAGAACACAAAGTGAATAATGTGTTTATGTTATAATAGATTGTGTTTATTATTATTGTTATAATGTTATTTTTGTACATATATATATATATATATATATTTTTAATAGCACTGTCCAATAATTTATACGGGTAAACAAAAAACTAATGAAAAAGACCGAAAATTTGCAAAATAATTTGTGCTGTAGTCAAAAGGATGGTTAACTCCAAAATAAAAAATAAATTAACCGTTGTATTGTTAGTTTTAAAATAGTTTAGTATAAACTGTTAGAAATCAACGTATGGTATGAAAAAATCTGACCATTTTTACATAAAATTGTTTAGTTAATTTCGTAAGTATAAAAAATTATACGGACATTCAATGAACATGCGAACTTTGAGGACAACCACAACCTGTCTGTTGTATAAAAACATAAAGGATATTATTGAGTATAATTTTTATTTAAAATACCATCAATTATATTAACGCATTGGACGATGACAGGTTGTAGATGGTTAGAATAACTTCATAATAATGAACTCGAAGTAATTATTACACCAACCCCTCCTCTCAGTCTCTTTCTCTCTCACCTCATATGAAATTAGTGTCTACAACACTGTATTGTTGTATTATTTTCACGTAACCCAACATCTGTTACACTATTTAATAATAAAATAATATTTTGAAACGCGATCATTTTGTCGGATACTATACTAGTACGGGTCTTAAAAAGCTTTAAATGTATTTATCTATACGTATAAACGGGTTTTTCTTGACTAATTGATTTGTTGACAAAGAATAAACACACAGTATAAAACCCCTGGAGTTATAAACTTCAAATGTTCACAGTAAGTACCTTTTATACCGTAAGTATCCAAGCTGATATAGGGTTTTTTGAAAAAAAATTAAATTTTTTGTTTTGATTTGACCTTGGAAACATAGACGATAATTTGTTGTGACGGAAAGGAAAACGCGCAATACTACAATTATTTAGAATATTTTTACATTACTACGGATATCAACGATTAAATGTGATAGACTGTATTTTCATTTTATACTAACAAGAGCAAAGCTGTGCGGAATGTGCCTCTAACGACAAGCGGAGTAAAGAAGATAATACTCCCGGGATAGTTGAAATGCTTTCTAACCGTTAGGGCAGTAAAGGGAGTAATTTTAAAACCAAAATGGAATATTCCCCGGAATATCAAAGGTAAGCTACCCAAAGAGCCACCTATTAATTTAACTCAAACAGTTGGTTCTCCGGAAAGACGAAAAGCTTCGTGATTAAATGTTCTCGGTAGGCATTAATCTTGACCATGATTTAAGACAATATGGATGTCCATCCATGAGTCATTGTATTTATTTGTGACAGCAAAATTTAATTCAGATTAGATTTAGTCAGCTGTTTTGATCTACTACCAGCGCTTCTAGTAATCTATTTTAAAAGATTTTTAAGGTTGTCACAACAATTTAAGATAATATCGACTATATTTTTGATACCATGTTCTTCAATAATATAAATACTTAATGATAATGGTTGAATATTCATACGCTTTAAATGATAAAAACAGATCGAAAATTTGTATTAGATTTAAGGTAGGTAAGATAGGTAGGTAATGTAAGTAAGATTATCATATGAGCGATATAGAGATAGATGAGCAATGATATTATTTTAAATCATGACCAGGGCAAAAATAGGGGATACAGTATACATACACACACTAAATTGTACAAAGCAAAATCATGGATAATAAAGCTAGTATATTATTTTACTACTAATTTTTACACAAAACAATTTGTTCTAACAAAAAAAGTGGCCAGGGTAACGCCGGTAAGGACAGCTAATATATTATTATAGTATAATAACAGTTATTTGATACTACGGCTTGTGGTTTGAAAAGTTAACCTATAATACAGGCCATCATAATATACCTGAATTCAATTTTCGTGCAACGTTGAAGTGCAGAAGTTTAGTTTTACATTTTGTTAGCAATTAATATTTTGAGAAACCACAAAACCGTTCAATGTCAAAAACACCTAAAATATATGTTAAAATAATATTGTACCGTTTGTTTTGTCATTAACAGTGGCTGTAGATCTACATTCTGTCATTGCTTTCAAAATAAGCCCGTAGATTATAGATTAAAATATTAAATAACAAAATTGTGTTAAAGGTAATTGAAACCAATATTTTCGTTTGATAGTTGAAAACCAATCCAGTCCGATCGATAGTGAATAAGCCATAAGAATACTGAAAACGGAATTAAATTTAAAGCGATGAAGCATTTACGAAACCGGCCAGGGCAATTTTTCAAATTTGATTATTTTCATTTACACTTTTTAGATTCTAAACATTATGATGGATTGTATTCGTTTTGCTATAATAGAATATATAGGTATAATCACAAGTTTTTTATACACAGACCCCGCTCAAATATGTTTTCATTTTATTTATCATCGCAGTTATTTCCACTTCTTACTGATCAACATTAGCATTGCCGATAGTGATGGAGAACTACGACTTACGCCGTGTATGGGTATGCGCAAATTGAACGGAAACACGACACACGCTGTAATTATACCCAAATGTTGGCAAAAATTTGGTACAATTACTGCAGGAACACGAGACTGGGTTTTTATACTGAATACTGACTACTTTTCAAATACTTATTAAAATAAAAACAACTTACATACCTACCAGTCATTATAAAAATACTAAACAAATAACTGAATACTACTCAATTAATGTTAACGCATTTTATTTCTGTTTCAAATTCAAAATTTCCAACTTCAAAAAAAATATTTGAAAATTTTAAAAGTATTCAATACAAAAAACGTTAAAAAGTAAAATCATTAATTACTTAAATGAATTTAACAATATTTTAATAATTAATCAAATCAAAAGGCATTTGTAATACTTTATGACGATGACGTTACACAAATCGCCTATGGCAACGGAAAATGTTGTAACTACATTTCCCAACTTCTAATCCATTATCATATCATAGGGTGCATCGAAAAAGGTCGTGTCTCAATGTTTCCAACTCTTAAATATTACAAACTCTTTGGACGAGTAGATACCGAAGTCGGATAGTGAAGCCCCATATAGTATAAGCACTATAAGCTTTAAAAACTGAATTTATAATAACTACCTATGTGTAACTTCTCTCAACGTCTGATGTTATATAGATGTACTTTCAATGTACTTTCGGTTTTAAAACTAAACATAGTAAAAATGGACATTACAATAAAGACTACATCATCATTTTCTAATATTCATTGTGATATTCAATAATTAACTGCAGCTGTGTAAAATTGCTTGTATTGTATATAGGTACAATTGAAGTGCAAAGTTAATAGGATGTCACAATATAACGATTTTTAACCCGTCATCTAATTAACAGTATATAGAAAATACTTTTGTATTGTGCACTCACTTTTGAGATTACATGTAAACCATCGTATAGATATCAACGTCTCGGTTTTGCACACAGGACTATTTGAAAATTTCTAGTTTTATTTGTTTTATAATATGGGTAAACATGTTATACTTTTTGTATTGTTTTGTTAATGTTTTAAGTTTAGATCGTGAAAAACACGAACATACTTGTAATTTATTTTATAGTTTCAAAGTAATTAGATTTATCAAAATGTATTTAACCTAGTTTCGCTCAGAATCATTTTTCGATGCTTACAGTTAAAAATTAAACCACCGCATATATGTATATAATACATTTTTACAATTTCCCACTTACAACAGCTATCTATGTCCATCCATATAGCGCAAAGTATGTCGGTTACTTAAATTTAAGAATAATATTTTCGTAAATTATAAAAATTAAAATTCAGTTTAGTACAGATCTGACCGATCTCATATATGTGTATATTACGCTGAATTTAAATCTGTTTCTAAAATTCTTATCACCACATCGCTAGTGATATACTCGATTGGATCCCGATTGACGAAATTTGGTCTAAGGAAATATCGTGGTTTCAAATCTCCTAAAGTAAACACATAACGTGTTTCAAAGCCTAATATATATTACGAGTATGTATACATGTATACGTCTATTAACATTTTGTCTCTATCTGTCTTTTGAAATTTAAATTTGAAAAAAATATGTAGTATGATGTTTTGATCTCAGCAAATTCCAATTGAAACTTTTTAGCGATTTTCAGAGTTTGCGTTTTTTTTTTTATATATATACCAATCGGTGTTTTACGTTTTTATACTCAAAATTTCCGCGATTCTATCAGATACAAGGCCAACGATTGATTATAGCACGTCGTTTTTTATAATAATAATAATATGATTGTCATTTAAAAATATATTATATTTTAAAATTGAATGAATAAAATTCTCTCGATTTATTTATTTTTTTAACGCGTACAATTATATCCGACCTTATTTTTTTAAATAAAATATTTTATATTGTTTAATTGAAAATATGACACAGTGAAAATATTTTAATTAATAAAAACATTTGGTAATCATTGATAAAAATGTACAATACTCGAATCGCTACAATAATCTTATCATCTTACTATCTTTAGCATCGCTATAAAATACACAATCATCTGCGATAATTATCATTTTTGAACACGTACTGGCGTACTCTTCGATTGAGATTTATTCGTTTGAACATTGAATTTTTAAGTACCGATCGGGAATATAATTTTAAATTTAAAAAAAAGAGCTACTAGGGACAGTCAATCGGTTAGTGTGCCACGGTTGTAGGTGAGAAATTCGGAAGGCAGAATAAAAAAAGATATTTAATTTATATTTGTACATAACGAACAAATATTGCTAAGGAAAAACGATTCTGAGCGAAGTAGTATTAATAGTATATTTTCTGTTATTACCAAGACCTAACGAAAAATCAAAAACAAAAAGAAACTGAATGAATTGCTGAGATTTCAATACATTTTTCAAATAATATACTACCGGGAGGAAATTCCATATCTTTTAAAGTATGGCTTGAATACTTTTTACTAAACAAAAAAAAACCCACACTAAGAATCTTTAAAAAATACTTAACATTTATTAAAATTTTTGTTGTTTATTTCATTTTATTGAAACATTATACTTTTAATATAATATAATATAGTGATGATACTGGCTATTAAAATAATAACGTCTCATCGTCTCATCGCTTGGAACGTTTACGTTCATTGTACAATAAAAGGAACGCTTTCATATATATCACGTTTATATATTTTTTTAAAAGAAATCGTCCACGTTCATTAAAAGAATGAACTCATTCAAAATTCAAAGGTCTGCGTCCTAGGTAAAAATGAATAAGTAGATTTAAATGTACGAAATAATACGTGTTATTTAACAATCTTAGTAAATAATGAACATTGATAACAGTTTAATTTTGTAAACACAGAATAATAGTTTAGTACATAGAGTAATCTTATTAACAATGGTAACATCAGTTAAATGAAAAACAATACTACCTATCTCGATAGATAGCATATTTTCTTTACAAATTACAATTAGCGATGTCGTGGTGTCACAAAATTGTGAAATGCAACATAATTTTTATTATTTTCATGAGATAATTCATTGATAATATCATAATCATTATTTTCGTTTTTTTTTTTTTTTTTTTTTTTTTAAATCAAATTAACTTTAACCAAACGAAAAAAAATCTTTCGCGTTCGTCCAATAATTGAACGCGTCCATAAACCGTTCACGAAATATCGAATGCGTTCTTTCCAAACACTGGGATTTACTATTATAACAAATTCAAATATTTCATAACTATTATGACATATACAGAGTAAAATAATATCGTAATTCTGCGTAGTATATAAAATATCTACGCGGACAATACAAATTCGAATGATATGTTTATCTTGAGGGAACATTAATATTCCGTCGCCCATCCAAAGTAAACGTAAAACTTAATAACTATTTATACATATACGGAAAATATCAACAAACTTAGCCCCCGTGCAGTAAACGAATACACCATTATTCACACTCATTGTTGCGCATACACGGCCGTCAGTTTACAGTTTGAATGTATAATAAATTATTAATTTAAAGGCTTAAAAATAAACTTTATACTGATATTGTTACATTATTCCGTCAGTAAAACATTCGTAAAATATAACTACCGCACGTATAACGCATACAATGATCAGTTTAATTTCATATCAAAAGTCAATTGATGATAATTTGTTTGCTGCTTAATATTATTCTAGTTGGTATAATAATTGTAATCTCTTAAGATAAAAAGAAAAAAAAAAGCTCAATTTTAATCTGTAAATGATTTCATGACTTCGTCGCATTGGCGAATAATATTTTCGATTATCCGTTTGCTTTATTGTGTTTCGAAAAGAACGAAAGCCGTTCGTTTGTAACATTATTTCGATCAATTTTACAACATTATAATATTACCATCGATTTAAATACGATTGCATTATTATTTATAGGAGGTACCTACCACACAAATTGTTTTTAAAGCGATTTTATGTATGTACGTGTAAATATATAGAAAACTCGATTATTGAATTTAAAATTAAGTATCGTAGCACGCCATTGTCTCTTTTTTCCGCATCGAAAAATAAATCGCTTTTAAAAATATTAAAGTGAGTTGTCTTCGTTTAACGAATTGCTGGCGTTATATTTTCATAGATGCGCCGCGATACCGCGTCGCGTCTTTCAAAATCACGTCGAGTACCACGGTCGAAAAAAATGGTTTCTCATTAAATAATATCGTACTTGGTGATTGGAACATCTGAATAAGATGTATACCAAGTTTCAAAATGATTTTGACAATCCAAATGAAATATACAACTACAATCATAATTGGGACGATATAGCAGATGTGTCTGCATTAAACAATACGCACATGCACGTGTCCTCGTGCCTGTGGATGTTCGTTTTTTCTAATTTTACTCATATTTTACTCATATTGTTTAATAGAACTTTTTACCAAACATTTTCTTGATTTTGCATATTTATAAAAAAAAAAATTGATGTAACATAAAATTCTGATCACTGTATACCTCTTTCCCACTAATTTTGAACACTTTTCACAGCTCCATCAGAACCAAATTATCTTAAACTCAAAAATTAGAATTGTTATAAAGACCACTTTAAGCGATAATAAGTTGGACGAAATTTCAAAATGAATATCACTATGATGTGGCTGAGTAGACCCTTCCCGCAATTTAAAACCATGGGGGATGACACTTTGTGTATGGTCAGTCTTAATATAAATTACCTATTCCTTTTGGTGGTTTCAGCTTTCAACCTCCTCCCCCCAATATTTTTATGCTTGAATACACAATTTTTCCAAGTATATATTTTAGTAAACTATTATAAATATATATATTGTATAAATGTATATAATTCCATGTGTAATATTCGATATGTACATTGAATATATTTCTACAATACATAATAGTTGAGGATAAAGTCGACTATATTGCGATGGATTTCAGTAGCTCATAGCTGTATAAAATTCTGAGCGAATCGAGGAATGTATTAATTTTACAATGATGTTCATTATTTTTATTTCTTTATATTGTGTACAAAATTTCTACCAAAAATCTTGCACCGATGTATCAAGTGTAGTACTTTTTCTTCTAATAGGATATTGCATCTAGTTGGTACTTTACTTTAGAGAGGTCATTTTTTTATTTTAAATATAGTTTTCATAATAATTGGGGGGGAAAAAAAAAAGACGGAAAATAAAAATTTTACAAACTTACGGCGTTACTACCGATTTCATTATTTTAAATTTGTACGCTTTATGTTTCCTACCAAAATAATGTTCCAATAACAAAACGACAATAGTAAAATTTTCAAAATATTTGTGCCATTTTTTAACTATTTATAGACGTTTTAATTTTGTGAATTTTTTACATAATTTTTATTCAGTTGGTACTCTGTGGATAGAATTGTTAGACCGAATAGAAATGCTTAAAACATTAAACATGCGGTTTATAAGTCGTACTTTTTGGTTAAAAAACTTATCTGTAATGTAAACATTTTTTTACAAACAATTTTATTACTACACTTTGACGAAATCGTGTAACCGAACTCTACTTAAAGTTGTTTTTCGTTAGCAACGATTAATTATTGCGGACAAATATACATTCAATTTCTCTCTATATCCTACCTTCCCAACTTTTCACCTTCGGCAGTGGACAAGTGAAGAATGTCCGTCTTTTATAATTTTCTTTTAACATTGATTGATTTTTTAAATTCAAGTACCGATAGGTGGAAATTCCGCATCCCTTAAAATAAAAAATTGGAGAATTTTTCCGAAAATAAGAGTTTTCCTAGAGAACTAAATAATATAGTTTTTTCGCTCTATTCAGAATCTAAAATTAATATATCTTAATATTATTTGTTTTCATATTCGTTCTATTTAGTTTTTCAAAACTAATGAATATTAATAAAGCTCGTTGTTTAATCCTGCAGTTGCTGTTCTGAACGCAAAAGACAAAATAATAGGATATAAGAGAAGCAAATAACATCAAAGCGCGAACTGTAAATAGTCTTTGTGGACCATGTTAATTTCGAATATTATTCTACTAAATTATGTTATCGTTTCATCCTTTGTTAGCTTCCTGAAATATCGTATCCGAATAATTTCGTTATACTGGTATACCGTAAGCCAATAGCGCATTATACGTAAAACTATTACAGTAATATGTAGGTACGTACGGTTTGTTTTGTTCGACTGGAAAATAGAAGAAAATCGAGTGAAACCGAATCCTGGGCGGTGTTGCGCCACGCAACTCACCCGTTCAATTATATCATTATCACACAAGCCGTTTAAAAGCAAACACCGGTCAAAGAGAAGAATTATTAATGCATTTATAAAATTAAACGAGTGGATTTTAGACCGAAGCGGGGTTGACGTTCATTCTTATATACATTTGTACGTAGGTCACGGAACACGGTGTCATGGTATGCATATTATATGTAAAAAAAATAAAAACGTGTTCAACGTACGGGTCAACAAGAATATATAACCTAAAATGTTTATCGATTGCTGCACAATGTGAGACTGATCATAACATTAAATAATATTTTGCCCGGAAAATCCTTTTGGCCGTATACTTTTTAACAGGATTGGGTTTTAGACATTGATTTTGTATGGTCTATTGGATATGTACGGCGTGTCAAAATTGTGAAATTCGATTTACATTTTTTCCCTATTAGATTCTGAGCGAAGCGAGGAATGTGTATAAGTTTAACAACTGTGCGATATTTAAAAAAAAAAATTTCTGTAAACAACTTTTCTACCAGAAATTATTCTTCATTCTTCATCTCATTGGTCTAACTGGTACGCCGAGGTATTAATGTTTAGATATTATGGTATTACTTTTCTTTTCTTTTTTTTTTTTAATAACGGAAAATATCGGGAAAACGTTTACGCAACGGCGGTTTTTGTCAAAAGTGGTTTACAATTTTTACAAAACACTTACTAATATTAGCTTTGTATAGACGTGGTATAAAATATTCTGGCGTTACTTAAGTTATTTGTATGTATTTGAAATTATTAAGTTTTATTTTTATTTTTTGATTTTATTCAGATAAAAATATGTAAATCTACAAAAACGTTCAAATTCATCGTAAATTATATTTAGTGGTAAAAATAAAATTAAACCTTATGTCGTAGTTTATACCTCCATATACTATAGTTGGACGTCCACTGAACTTCGCTCAGAATCATTTTCGTTTACTACGATAATTAGAAGAAAAATCTTCAGCTGTCAAAAGTGAGTTTACGTCGGTGTTTATTTATTTATTTATTTATAAATAAATGAATATTATTATTATCCTATGGACTTTAAGGGGAGGGGGAAATTCGCCCATTGCCTACCCTACCCTCATCAAATACGTTCATGTGCAAATCGGCTGTGAAAAATTCGACTCTAGTAGTTGCAGAGCTCTGCTGCTTACGGGTGTTTTTTTTTTCAATTCAAGCACCGTAAACGATTCAACGTGTGTAGTATTGACGTCATGGGAACTGAGAGCACAGGTATTGTAATTATTATTATTATACGGAGATGCGCGAATGTTCAGCGGGGGTTCAATAATATTTTGCGTGGGTGTCTATATAGGTATGCGTAATTATCGAAGACGATTTCTTCGTCGTGCCGTACCGTGCTCATAAATCAACGTTTTCAATTACGTTCCGAGCAATATTGACCCTCCCTTCCCGTTCTCTCCGTAATTTATTATCGGAAAATAATACGTAACTGTAGGCGAAAATCGGTCGAGAATTTTATTTTTGACGAGCTGGTTTGCATTTTTACACGCGTTGATTGTTCTTGTTCGCGGAATTTTTTTTTTTCCACCGATATTATAATAGTCTTCGCAACTCCGGTATTACTCATCCGTCTTGAAAATATACAAACGACGCACAATAATAATAATAATAATATTTTAATAACATAACATTTTAAATCTCAAACCGATCCAAGTACAAAAATTTATGATAAGGAAATCCTAAAATACACAAATAAAAATATTGAAACAAAGACAAAAGAACTAGATTATATATTAGAACAAACGGAGCGTCGTTTTCACTCATTGATGTATTTAGGGTTTTGTCTCGGGTCTAACCTCGTTTGATTCAGATAGAATTCATTTTAAACGAAAAAACGTATACGTTCAGGTTTTTTTTAATAATATACGAATATATATCAATTAATATATATCCACACGTTTTGATGTTTCTGACTAAAATGTGAATAAATTTGAATTTAATAAAACAGGTATTAATTACCTATATAGACAGTAAATATCAATGAATAAAGGTCAAAGAAGAGATATATTTCTCTAATGTCCTCACTTAAATGCGCCACTGTATTTATTTATTAAAAGGCGGTCTTTTTGTTCATCTGTGGCACAATGCTTAAAGACTTTCGTTCTAAATCCTAGTGGCATACGATGAAAACGATACGTTCAGTAATAGTAGCCGATACATGTGGTCCCGATAGCCGTTTTACAATATTTTTAAAACGTGGATGCTATCTGAATATAAAGTAGCGAATATAATTCTGCACAACCAAATATATGTAGGCCAATAAGACGAATGCACCACTCTTATAAGTGGGAAGTTGGGAAGATAGTATGTATTTGCAGTTATTTAATTTATATCTGTACACAACGCTAGAATGTTCTAAAAATTTTACTACATCTATAAAAAACTAACATAAATATTCGATAAAAACGTCCGTTATCTGCAATTGTTTTTGTCTGATTTATAAGAGAAATCAAAATAAAATATAATGGAACCATTAATACCGTAAACTTTCCTGTTTTTTCTGTTTTTCTCAATTGTTAAGAAAACCTTAAAAAACTACTTTCTCTTACACAAACAAGACATCATTTTTTTTAAATATGCCACTCTCAAAATCCAGACTAAGAATTTTGTTAGAAAACAAAACTGGATAAAATTGTTTTGTTTTTATTTTACTTTTTTTTCTGGTTTTTTTAATTATTATAAAAATCAAAAAATTAGTTACACAATGTGAGAATTTTTACCAATAAAATACAACAAGGCAATAAAGACCTCGAGTTATTTTTCAATCAGAACATAATTTCTGGTAGAAGCGTTGTAAAGTCAAAAAAATAAATTTAGATACTACGAAAATATTTAAACTTTTCCGACTTCGATCAATTCTTATTTTTTATTTATGTTGGCTATAGCNAAAACTACTGGAAAAATTAAAAAATGATCTTGCCGTACTACCCCAGTAAGATTTCCTTTCAGAAAAAGTTCTACGCTTGAAATTTGGAGTAAAATATCTGGTAGAAAATTTGTTCACAGATTAAAAAAAAAAATTGTAAAACTAATACATTCACTCCGCTCAGAATCTAAAACACATTTATTATGTAATAAAATCAAAAAAATGTCCAATAAATACGATTTTAGTTTTATTTTATCTAGTCTAATAATTAAAGAACGTTTAGGTGAGTTTTTTTGAAAATATTTAAACTTTTCCGACTTCGATCAATTCTTATTTTTTATTTATGTTGGCTATAGCTAATCCGTTAAGATGTTCCTCCCTAGTTGTTGATTTTAAGTATTATTTTAAACGTTTAGACGTTAAAAATGTTTTTGCTGGTGTAACTGAAATAATTAGCAATTAAAAGAGACCATATGGGTATTGATAAGAGATTCTACCAAACCTGGCTATATACCACCGATAATAACAGATAATTGGGGCCATGAAAGTTTTTTTCAAAATATTTAAGCACATAAAGCATGTTTGTATTCGCTTCAGTCTCGTTTCAATATGCTATACTTCATAGCAATATCCATTTGAATACTTTTTTTTTACTTGCGTTGAATGCCGTTTAAATTTACATAAATTATCCTTTTTTTTTATTTCATTAATTAATTTTAATTATTCCAACAATCATTTCGGGTCATCATATAATAGTACTATAGGGATTTGAACCACAAAGCTATACAATTTTATTCTGATCTAATATAATATAATATTTTTTTGTTTTAACATATAAATATACAGACGGTTAAAATATGTTTTACATTCTATGCGTTAAATTATTTTTTCACCATATAGTCAATAAAATCATGTGCGTTTTAGTTTAGTAGTTACGATATAATTAATATAGTTTTTGCGGTTTCATAGGCTTTTAACGTAACCTAAACAAAACAAATTGCACCATATAATATTTTAATTACGTAAAAAGCATTAAAACCAATAACGATGAAAGGCTACACGTAAAATACAATATTGAAAACACATAAAATTATTTCTAAATTTAATAAATAGCTAACGTTATAATATGACTTTTATAGAACGAAAATATACATTTTGAATCGAAAAATGTAAAAATATAGCAAATCATAAAAACAAGATCAGTACTTTCAAAACTCAAATAAGATTTGAATAGGTAGTAGGTACGCACAAAAAAAAAAAAAAACAAAATAATTAATTTGTTTCACTAAATTTAGAACAATATAGCAATAGAATTGCGAGTATAAGTCATTTAGACACGGAAACAAATTTTCACCTGCTAAAATCATAATCCGTTTGGGCGACAATTTTGTTATTTTCCACGTCTCAATTGGGTATCAAGACTAATAACTTCTTTGGGTATTGGTTATAATATTCACGTAATTTGCAAAGGCTCTTTATTATAAGGGTCAACGGTTCACATAATACATCTAACATGTCAACAATTATCAAAAGCTATAACTTACCACTTAATATTCCCTCTTTTTATCTTCTTGAAATATATCTTTTTAATTAGGCAATCAAAAATGTATTAAATATTTAATTTAGTTAGGATATGATATATGATTCCGAAAAGTTAGTATTAAGTATTCTATGATGAAATCGACTGCACTATAAAATTAAAAAAGCCATTTGATATGTATTCTATAGATAACTTTTTATAAATACCTAGTGTTCAGACATACCGTGAATCTATGAACTTTATATTTTTGGTATCTAAACGTATCATACAAAATTGCCCTAACTTGATATGATTGTAAGATTACTTTAATCGGGTTAGCAAAAAGTGAGCCGTGATTGTTAAATGCCTGCTTACTAGCCCTTTTTTGTGAGAGCCACTAAAATGGTTTTCCCAGTTTTAAGAATTTCGTGCCAAACGTTAGCAAAATTATTGTGAATGATGTGTGCGAAAACTAAAATATATTTCTAAAATACGACGAATAACTATTATATAATGCTATATTACGGACACCTGCCTGCCAGCTATTCCCAATACTTCTAAACGTAGAACTCCTAGAAATGGGAAAAAAACTGGCCAATATGCACTTGAATATCGAGGTTCACTTTTCGTTGGCCCTACTAATGACTAAAAGTGCGTCATATATAATATTGCAATCGACTAAAATTGTATTAAAACTACTGTATGATAGTCATTTTACGTGTTTTAAAAATTAATATCCGCGGGGAAATATATTGAAACCTTAGTTACATATTAGAAAACAAAAAATGCCCACGAGAATATAATTAAGTTAGACGTATTAATGCACTTAAGTAATTCGAATATTTAAATGATCGATTACGTGCGCACTATAACAAATATCAAAAGTTTAAACCTCAAAAGTTATTGTCTTTTATAATATACGAGTTATTATGATAAGTATTCTCTTTTCTATTATTTACTATACAGTGGTTAAATAATTCGTTTGACAAAAACTCACGGAAACATTATTATAACCTAGTACTACATCGTTCACATATAATGAACTGTACTCATTTTAAATATTATAATGTGATTGAAATATGATTTCAACCATGAAAAGGCACGATACTGCTAGTGGGTATACCACTGTTTTAGGAGGGAACTTAGAAGGAACAATATAATATATTATACTGGGGGATTTTTTTGAACCATCAATTATCTCAGAGGATTTAAAATGAATTTGATTTCTATTTTTTCAAATCATTCTACAGTCGTTTAAGCTATTTTTTAATACAATTTTTAATATTTACCTCTGCTCCATATACCTTAAATAAGTACATAATTTAAGTTTTTTAATAGAAAATTCCCCTTTTTGAACACAGATTTGAATAGAGAATATTATTCTAGAAATTTTGATACACAAAACACCTATATCAGATTTACTGTTTATGAGTTATAACAGCTTAAAGTTTAGATCGAAGAAGTAGGAAAGGATTATAGATAGGTAATTTATTAAAATAAAGCTTAAACAATTCTATAATGATTAGAAAAAATATAAATCAAATTTACTTTAAATCCTCTGAGATAATTGCTGGTTCATGATAAAAAAAAATCACCTTTTACAGAGTAAATTAATTTTTATCGTTTAGACCAATTTTGATAAAAACAAATTATAGACATAAACAGAGTATTATTAGTCATATTTTTCGCTTATTTCCAAAGCAGTTGACCCAAAAAACAATACAAATTATATAAACGATTGTCTGTTTTATTAATTTATTAAAAAAATTAAATTTAAAAAAGAGCTGATTCTGGGTACACGTGTGGCCACTGTTGTAGGTAGTAAGTTGGAAAGGTGGGATACATAAAGTTCTTTAATGTATACCTATAACTAACGAAAAACAATTCAGATCTGAAGTTCGATTATACATGTTTTGAAATCCGAAATATTTATGATTTTCATTAAAATTTGATATTAAAACTCTTATTCTGAGTTGCATAAAAATTATTCCGTAAATATTAAACGAATGATTAACTAATGGCTCGTTAAAATTTTAATGGTTTGTTAAATGACTTCCTTAGTTTACTGACTAGATCAAAAACGCTACAAAAAAGTTATTAAACAATTTTCGAACAGAGCAAAGATTTTGTTAGAAATAAGTAGTTAAAAGGCATAAAAAAAAATATTTAAAAAAAAAACACGACATAATAAAACTCGTTTCTCGTTTCGTTCAGAATCTGAAATATAAGTATGATATAGTGTATAACAATACCTATTCATAAAACAACACACCCGCATACCTATTTATAATGATACAAAATAAGTAGTCGTTTGTTGTTGCCATTATAATATTATAATATCATATATTATTATAGGTACGCATGGTTGCGCAGGGCTTTGATGCTGCAACCTGAATCGTATGTACACCAAAAAAGTACATTAAATCTTGTTAGTTAATGGAAACGTAACATTAAAATACGATAATAACCATCCCGTTTTCGTTTCGACCAAAGTTGTTATCATCGTTACCAGGCCCCCTCGAGACTATATATAACGTACAATATCGATAATTTATAATTAAACAAACACAAATTGCTTAACCGCCCCCATTTAAACAACAGTTAGTAATTAAGAAATAATCCAACAGATCCAGTGTTCAAAAGTATTCAGGAAACAAGAATTAAAAGATGTTTTAAGGCAATATTATTGAAGTATATAATAGGTATATACCTACCAATGCCATGTATACAAAGTGATTTTTTTTATAAACCAGTAATTATTTCAGAGAATTTTAAATGAATTCAATTTCTGTTTTTTCTAATCATTATGGAATTGTTTAAGCTTTATTTTAAAGCCATTTTTAATTATTTACCCTTACTCTATGTATCTTAGATAAGTACATACTTTTTATTTTCAAATAAGAACCCTCTTATTGAACATAGATTTAAATAGAGAATATTTTTCTAGAAATTTTGATACGCATAACACACATATTAGATTTGCCGTTCATAAGTTAAAATAATTTAAATTTTAGACCAGAGAAGTAGGGTTAAAGATAGGAGGGATAAAAAATTAAAAATGGCTTTAAAATAAAGCTTGAATAATTCCATAGTGATTAGAAAAAACAGAAATCAAATTCATTTAAAATTCTCTGAGACAATTGCTTGTTCATGAAAAAAAAAATCAACCTGTATAACAACTAAATCAGGAACTGCAATTTGTTGGTTTCTTTTTTTTTTTGGTTCTAGTTTCGGTTTTGGCACTCAATTATTTTATTTGAAGGTTCTGGTTCCGATTCAGATTTTTAAAATATTCAAAATAAGAGTTAAATTTAGGATTTCACGGTTAATACCGGTTCCAAACATTTTTTAGCATCTGTGGCAATATCTTAATAGTAATTAATGTTTTAGTGTTTTACTGATTTTTGATGAGTAAGTATTTCTAACCAGTTGTGTATTATTTAGGGTATTTCATTCCTAGAAATAAAAAAAAAATGATATAAAATAAATTTTCCTACGGCATAGTAAATTAATATAAGTATAAAAATTATACATATAGTGTCGTCTTCGTGCTATTAGGTTTCCAAGCTGTGGCTAAATATAATTAGTTATAATTAGGTTACTAGACAATTAGAATTTATATATTTTATACATAAGTATTCAATATTGAACCCGCTCCAAAAAATGCCCAGGTAGGTACTTAATTATTAATAAATAACTTGTAAGAAGTCTGTAAGAAGTTCCTATTTTGATTCTATGGCCATCCGGATAAATACTGAAGCGCTCCATAGTTTTTCTAACGGTTAACAGTGATATTTAGGGGGAAGTGGTTAAGAGCTCAAACTCTTGATTGGTTTAATAATTATGCATAATATTAATCCTAAACGTTAGAAATATATAATGTAATTATTACTTCATGAATTAACAGAGTGACAGAGTGCTCTACAGTATTATCCTAATGTTAATAATTCTGTCAATATTAATATATATTTTTTTTTTAATCGAGTTATATTGTTAATTAATAATTTTTTATTTTAATACTTTTTCGTCATTTTCAAAACAGCCATTTTTTAAAATATATTATTTAAAAAAATTTAATATAGTATGCATTCATATAAAGTTATTTTTTTCATTAATTAAGAATGAAAATAAAAATTGTATTTTTCTCTACATATGCGTCCTCCCCCCATTAAACCCGATTGAAAAAAATATTGTAAAAAAAAATAAATTGAAAATTGAAAAAATTATTAGCATAAGGATAAAACTGTAGAACACCTTGTATGGGCAAATTATACTTACGAGTACATGCATTTACCAGGAAAATTGTATTACTAAAACTATTTCTACGAACGAACCGTTAAATTTACAGTTAAAACTTTAATCACTTCTCGACAACACGTATAAGTAATATTATAAGTTATAATAACAGCTGAAATTGTAATGTATTGGTCGTTTTGAAATACAATATTATCATTAATACAGTTTAAGTAATTTAGTTGGTTTTTTTTTTTTTTTTTTGTAATTTATTATACCTAATATAAAAACGTTATAATGGTATACCAACTATAGTCAAATTATTATACTGGTAAAAGTTGTGTGCAGTTAATGATTCAAAATAATTAAAAATTTAAAAATGAAACAATCTAACGACGAGATTATCAGAACGCGAAGGAATAATAACATTGAAAAACATTGAACTTTTATGGCGAATATTTCACGTTATTATTTTAAATGTCTCGTATAATAACGACGAGACTAGAGTAGATACGGGAGCTGCACGATGAACGGGGTGGGAAAATGGACTTATATTATAATTTATAAGAAATTGCAATCTTCATTCTTGTCCCCAACACCCCCCACTCGTACGCTATTACGCCAGCAGAGATTAACGAATATAAAACAGTAATAATATTTCGTCTTTACATATTTATTTAATACTATAAATTGGTGATGACGCGTTCTTTCTGGGACGTAAACAAAGTGAAAAATTTAAAGGATTTATACTATTATTATAAAACATTATGCGAAGCAGCGAAATAACGCTACCAGTTGTCAAAAATTGTTTACCGTTCGTATCCATATCCGTATAATATACACGAGAGTAATATTAATGAGTTACAAACGAACAATATTTATAAAAATACGGCCGAGAAGGGTAGAAAACTTCCTAATCTCATTAATGTTTCACAAGTTGTCTTAATGCTGATGTACGTGTGCTAATGAGTTAAGTCGTTCGTATTATTATGTATTGTATAATTAAAGTGTATAATACAAAATAAACGGTAAATTACAAAAACTATTTACGAGTACGCCATTAATAAACAACATGGGTGCATACGAAATTTGTGCCTAAAAAGGAACATAATATGTCGCGACAACCGAATTGCGTCCACGGTTTTTGCACACGTCCGAGTTGCGTTCACGGCATTTCAGCGACTGTTCTGATTTGCGTCCAAAAGAATAATTTATATTCTATACGTTTGGTCATATAATACTCGTAAATATTTGGACATTAGCCAGTCTAATCGATTATCGATACCTTAACTATAAATACTGCCTAACAATTTATTGGAAATTAATTTTGTTCATGTCAACGTCAATAAATTAGTATACGAGTTACACTGCAGCATGGGTTATGATCGTTTAAACGTACCTACTATTTTAGATTCGGAGTATAGCGAGTTCGGTTTTATTAACATATGTATTTCTATTGTTTAATTTTTTTTATTTGTAAAGTAATATATTAATTTGCCAAAAGTTTTTATAATAATTGGGAAAATCCAAGAAAAGACGACAAATAAAAACGAACTAATTTACGAAATACGATTTCATTATTATAAATTTTAACGGCTTATGGTTTCTACCAGAATAAAGAACCAATAAAAAAACAACAAAAAATCTTTGTAGTTGAATTTTTAATAAAGTCGGTGAGATAGTTAGTTTTTGATTTTCCCTGTATTTTTTTTCAGAGAATTGAGCCAAACTGAAAAAAAGGAAAAAAACACGGGAAAGTTTACGAAAACGTATTATTTAAATAATTATTTTCAATTTTGTTTATGTTTTAAATCAGTTAAAAATATTCGTATTTTTACAAAAAAAAACTTATGTTTGCTTTTTCTAAATTTGGTAAATTTTTAAAATATTTAAGCTATTTTTGAGCTATTTATAGACGTTCACACTTTACGATTTACATAATTTTTATTTAGTTTGTCATACTACTCTGTGGATAAAATTGTCGGACTAAACAGAAATGCTTGAAAATTCAACAGAAGGTTCGTTGTAAATCGTACTTAACTATCAAAAAAAAAAAAAAAAAAAAATGAGCATAATGCAACATTTTTTTGTTTTTTTAATATTTAATAATACATTTTGACAAAAGTTGTAAATATTACAGCTTTTTAAAACAAGTATAACCAAACTTTGTTCCGAATCATTTTTCGTTATCGATAGTTTATCGTTGCTTACAGATATTAATTAAATACATGTATGTATCCTAACTTCCCAACTTCTCACCTACAACAGTAACACACCCATTCTCAGTATCAGCTTCTTTTAAATTTCAACTTTGCAACAATATAATAATGAAAAATCATGAAATAATTAAAATGTTTAATAAATAAAATAAACAATAATATTGTGTTATAAATGAATACAAATTAGTTTTCTAAAAAATGTTAAACAGTAAATATTCAGAAATGGTCGTATTAAAAACATTATACATATTTTTAATCAGGCCATTTCTATAAATGACGGTCCTTGGTCTGTAAAAATGTGAAGGGAAATGTGTATGTATCAATTATTAACGGGGACGCAATTCGAACTTATCGTGAGAAAATTGCGAACGCCACTCGGACTCGTCGTTGAGAACCTGCGTACGCAATTCGAATGTGTCGTGAGAAAACCACACAACTAGGACAAAATATCATTTTCGGTTGCAATTCGAATGCACTGAATATTATGCATCGGATTTCGTTTAAACAATAAAATTAGTAGCAATCAATAGCAATCAGGGACAAATCCGAGGAGTCTTCTTAAATCCCCTTTAACAAACGTATTATACGTATGTATCTTTAAGGCTGGTCCTTATTACATCGTATAGATAAGGTATATTCTTTTTCCAATTTTCGATCGGTTTTCCCTAAAAATTTGTTAAAAACTATTAGAAAAATTATAAAATGTGATAAGTTTCATAAACGAGGATATTCCGAGTGCGTTCCATTTTTAATATATTCATAGCCCGAGTTGGTCCGCGGTCTTATCGATGCAGCCTTAGGTAGGTACCTATACCTTTTTATCGAACCGCTTGCAAAATGCTGCTTAAAATAGCCGTATTTTGGATTTGACCGTCTAACTTTTATTAATTATTATTATTATCTTTGTTATTCATATTATCATTATTTATTTAATATGAAAAAGTAAATTTAACTTTTAAATTGTATTGTTTTACTGTATTTGTACGATATATCTACAGTCTTCCAAGCTATTATAAATTGAAATGACATCATACATAAAGGTTTTAAGTTTTTGTTGACCAAAGCGGTGATATTCAAGAACAAAAATTGTTCACACCCCCTCCCATAGAATTGACCAGAAAACGCCCTTGACCAATACTATTAACCGAGCTCCGCTCAGAATTATTTTTTGTTGGCAATGCTTAAATTTATTTAAGTTCAGATATACATTAAATTTCTCTCAATATTCTATCTTCCCAACTTCTCATCTATAACACTGGTTCACTCATTGTGCGAAGTATATCCGTCTTTTTTTCTTATTAATTATTTCGCCCCCTCCCTCATAGTAAAGGTTTGGAGACGCCCTAGATAATAATAGTTACTTGTCCTTTTTTTCACTAAACTACTAGCATTCACCCACAAAAGAAAAAAAAAGGGAGGTTTTATCATATTTTATACTAATGAGTTATATAATAAAAGAGCATAAGTAATAATTTGAAATTGAATAAAACAAATATAATATCATATGTATTATTTGCATATCATAAATATTTTAGACCGACTACCAAAATCAAAAAAAGTGTAGCCTTTTTAAACTTAAAAACAATCGGATGACCCTGTATATACAAAAATAAATATTAGATATGAATAAATGGTTTTGTGTGTGAAATATTTTACTTGACATTTTCCAATAGATTATTGAAAAATACGTTTTATTCTGAATATTAGTTATTTCTTAGTTTGGTTTCATTTTATGTTTTTTTTATAAAGTTATAACTTCATATTAAACTTTAAGTATTATATTATTTATTCAAATATTGGTCTTGTGCCGTGATTAATAAATATCGATGGTATAAATAATTTAAATGTTTTAATTATTTGTTAAGCTATTGTTAATTGTAAATACATTTTAAATAAGCTACGAGAAGTTCACGACTGTCCAGTGCCTTAAACAGATTTCGCCATTTTTACTATTTAAGTTTTAAATTTAAAAATAATTAATTTAATGAAATATTTTACAAACATTCATACAATTTTAAAACCTTACAAATAATTAATAAATTTACGCATTACGCATCTGCACAATTTTAAATACAAATGAAGCAATATTATCTTTGTATTAATATAAATTATAATCTATTGTTGTAATTTGTATACTAGTTTGTTTTACATTATTTAATATTTCGAGAAGTTTTGGATATCTGCGTCCTGCCTCTAAATAATCTTTTTTCTATTAAGGGGTGAGTGGGCAACATCACCTACGTCGTCTATGTATGTAAACAATGTTGTTATGGTGCTATTATCACACAATGCCTACACAAATGGCAGCTGGCTGGTATTTTTCGACAGTATTTAATGATAAAATAATGGATAATTATATAGTTTAAAACATCTAGGTGATGTGTTAATGCGTGTTACATCGTATACGATCATATTGTACAAATAATATTATAATTGACCATCATCGAGGCCTAAGATTGAACGGTTTTAAGATAAGAAGTTGAAAAAAAAAAAAAAATGTTTTATATAATTTCTATCAAAACCTCGACGAACTTGACACGGTATTTTTAATCTCCGATAATACTATAACTATACTTAAAGTACTGCACAGTCATTATTTTGATTCGTTTGCTCATCAGTGTGACTCGAATATTGTTTGTTAATTTGACTGCGTCGTATGGACCCGCTAGCTGTAGGCGTTTTCGCAACGTTGCGAAAAACCCCACCGAACGCGAATTCTCATGAGTTCTATTTACACCTTTACGACGCCAATAAATAGAAGACTCAATAATAATAATACAAAACTGAAAACTAACCAGATCACATCTTTTATGTATTATTATAGAGCCTCGAAAAATAACCAGTGATCAGATAAGAGATAAATTCAATAGTTCTACTGCGTTTTGTACAACACTTGAAATATAATGTTATTCCAATATTATAATGTTATATTATTATAAAAACAACACAATAATAATAATAAATAAACTTAAAACTCTGATAAAAAAGAATTGGAAGTTTCCTTCCATAAAAAAATAAAGAAAACGAAAAACGGGCATATTTTGTACGAAGGGTAGACCACTGTTTTAGATGAAAAGTTGAAAAGGTAGGATAGAGAGGGGAATTTAATGTAAGCAAAGATAAATCATTGCTAATGGAAAACGATACTGAACGAAGTTCGGTTAACCGTATTGCTTTTTCAGTAGTAAAAATGTTTCAAAGGGAGGGGGGGCGATATGAAAATTTTCAAATAAATTTTTTTTTCATTGTTTATTGATATACGATGATATAATTTAAAAAGCTCGAGTACGGGATGGGTTAATTTATATCTGTTTGCAACGATATACAATTGCTAACGAAAAACAATTCTGAGCGAAGTCGGGTGATACATCTGTTTAGTTTCAACAATTTTATCCATGAGTACCTACAAAATAAAAAAAAAATGTCTCAAATGTTTTGAACATTTTACCACATCTAGGAACAACCAATATAAGTTTACATTCCAAATTTCGCCTTTGTACGACTATTTTTAACCAAATTACAACAAAAATTTCCCAAAATATCTATAAATAGTTCAAAAATGGATAAAATTTAAAAAAAAAATAAACATCATTGTAAAATCAATACATTCCTCGATTCACTCAGAATCTAAAATATTTAGTTATACAGTATAGTATGTACATATAATAATTACATAAAACAGTTTTAATTTTTTTTTAAATTATTTTAATCGTATTTAAAAATCTTTTATTTTGACCAATCTTGTAGTTGCATTCTCCTTTAGAATTTTTTTAGCAAAATCTCTGTTATTTCAACTGATACATCACCCTTATTAATATTTACTATAGCCAAGTCATTTATTCTTCTTTCTGTTTTTATTCTTCTAAGAACAGGAAATGTACGCTCTGGAGTTACTGAAGTAACAGGTAGTATAGAAAACAACTGTAAAAGTGTTTTAACATTGGGTAAAAGATCTTTGCAGTGTTTCATTACTTCTATTGCAGTTTGTGGTATATTTAATATGTCCTTCCAGCGATTTCTCCACATTTATAGCTCAGTACTTAAACAAAATAACCGATTTAAAGGTAGATCATTTTCGTATATAGAA